GCGTGGCCAGTCAAGACCTGACCGGTCCAGTGTAGTATTACGGTGAACGTGGACTCATGGCTTCCTAGTTCCACATCTCGGTCTGACTCCTCTCCCAGTATCTACTTCCTGATGTTATGCGCTGAGAGAGAGAACCGACGGCACCCACTCACGTTGTCCTAAAACAGTGGTCCTGTAAAACATAATCACAGAGCCCAAAAGCAGCTGGAGGAGACGTACTCACAGACTGCTTGCTTAGCGGCATCTCCGCTTTGGCGTATTTTTCATCTCACACACCATCCTGACCTTCCGTGTGGAACTTGATGTTTGTACCTTGAATTGGCCCTTTGGGAGTGTAACCGTATGTCCCAGTTTTCCCAGGACAGTCCTTCCTGGTGTGTGTCTGTTGTCCTGGCATAATTATTAGTATACCTCTTTTCTCTCCCAGAAATGCCCTGATTTAGATGATAAATTTTATGGCCACCTAGTTGTTAAGCTTTGGTTCTTGCTGCTATTTATCTAGACTTTTCCCTAGCTTGCTGGTGGAGGAAGGCCCCATTCGCCTCTAGGTCCCTTCAGAAGGGCTTGTTCTGCTCCCAGCAACCCATTGAGTTTCCTGATAAGAGATAAGACTGAGGTCTTAACACATGAATTTCAGTAAATGTAGATTTCAGAACTGAAAGGGACTTCTGGAGGCTGGTAGTTCGACTATTTTCTACAAAGAAGTAAATGATTTTTAACTCATGTAGAGCAAATGGTTTCCTTGTGCTGTAGTATTTGTCTTTCTTAGCAATCTTCTTTATAGCCCAAGGCCCTGATATCTGTGTTGACTCGTTCTGAACAATTCAGTTTGCTTGATTACCCCACTCACAGCCGTTCATGATGGGGTTACCCAAAAGAAAGCATATGGTTCTTTCTTTAAGGGATTCAAGTTATTTTCCAAAAAACTAGAAGTTGTTTACCCTTCTTAGTAAGTTTTCTAGGCACCAAGATTTTCTTGGTAAGTAACTTTTCCAGTTACTGGGATCCTGGACTTCTCCGTCATGAGCCTCCCTGTAAAGGAAGATATAAACATTTGGGAGTTTGACCACTTGGCTATTCATGTGCCTGCTTTCCTTAGACACATAAATCTCAAACTCGAGGACTCCAGCAAATATGTATATTTATATAGGCAAAACCTTCCCAAGGCAAACTTCTCTCTGTGTGAGTTTCCAATGCTGAGATCTTGTAGCAGAGCTCTTTGTATATTTGCTGATGATGCTGAAATTTTTTAAATGTAAGTTTCTAAAACATTTCTTTGTGATAAATCCTAGAATTAGGACAGTTTAGACCATGTTTCAGTAAAAAGAATGAAATCTGAGACTTAACACTACAACATTTTATCTCTTACCCACATCATGGTCTAATACAAGTTGAGTGGCTCTCCTTGGTAGCTCTTCTCCAAATCATGATGTAGGAACCTGGGCTGCATGCGTCTTGTAGCTGTACCATCTGGGGCACGTGGCTTCCAGGGTTGCCATGGAAGAGGGAACTTGGAGCATCATGCATGGATTTTAGTGGTCACACTAGGGGGGTAGACCTCACTTCCCCCCATATCTCATGAGCCATAATTCAATCTTGTGGCCCCAGTCTAACTGCTGGGGAAGCTGTGAAGTGTAGTCTTACTACCAGGAAGGGGAAAATGAAATGGGATTTGGTGGATACACAGCATTGTTTCTGCCACACTTCCCTTCATTGATCTAAGTCTTGGCTCATTTGCCGCGTTTTAACAGTCTTACCATTTTCCTGCTCTTGGGGTTCAGCATCTTCAAGGTGCTTGCCCTTGTCCTTCACATTTTGAGTGAAATCACGTTCAGTCTGACTGTAGAGTTCAGGTTCTTCTCACGCCTCCACGGTGCAGGTTCACCATGAAGAGCAGAGTGAGTGGGCTCCAGAGAATTTCCTTATTCCAGGTCTTCCACTCTCTTCCACCTCGCTTCGAACTTCCATCCTACATTTATCTCTACTTCCAAAGGTCACCCCTCTTTCACCGGATAACCTGCATGGAAAGCGTTGTAGTAGTGATGGTGTACAGCTCTTCTGTTACTTAAATGATTAGAAACGGATGTTCATTTCAGAACTTAGGATATTCAGAAACTTCTTTTTATCAATTCCTACAAGTTATTAGACAGCTCAGAACCAAACACCCAATTGGCTCATCAACAAAGTAAAATAACAATTTATGCATGGGAGCACAATTGCTAAATGGATCAGTATTGGCATGCCAGGACATTCTATTTCCAGCAGGAAATTCTACAGAGAGCAGAGGTGGAGGAGAGGCCTCGGAGAGCATCTGCAGGCAGAGACTGTCAGACGGCTCATCCTCGGGCACACAGAGATAGAGATTGCCTGTTTCTCCTCTGCTGGGTGGGGCTGGAGGCCTGCTACCACCCTAGTCGGTTCTTCCTCTCCACTGTTACCTGTCCATCACTGAAAAGTCTCTTATTTCAAAATTACATCAAGACTTTTATAATTATATTACATTTCTGTTGGTGTTAATTCACTTTGAGGGAGATGATAAATAATATTTTAGGATGAGATGACGAATGTCACACAGTTGTGCTGATTTTCGTAGCTTCCGTTTCAGAGAGTTGCATTCTTCACCCAGCTTCCCAGCACGTGACGAGGGCCTGGTGTGTGGTAGATGTGGGTAGATGTTTGCTCACTCAGCAGATGTTGATTAAGGCTGTGCTCCACACCAGGCGTCATGCAGGGGCTGGGGATGCTGTGAGGAGGGAAGGAAACCGTTCCCAGGGAGAGTGCTGTGGTCAGATGAGAGGAAAGGATGGAGCGAATGGGGTGTGTGCTGCTTATGGGAGGTGGGGGTGGAGTGGCATAGAGGGTGTTGCTTTATGTCCATCTCAGTGTCTCCTAGTGAAGTAGCTGTTCTTCTTGAAGATTCTCAAATGCAGGAGACGTTAGAAATAGGTATGTCCCTGGGGGAGAGCGGAGGGAGAAAGGCCCTTTAAAAGGGAGAAATGGGGTAATTAAAGTGACCTTTATCAGATCAGTCAATTAATGGTTAGAATGCCATTATCTGCCCTTGTAATTACAAGCAAAAGTGGTGGTCTAAAATGACTTGGTTTTAGCTCTTGGACATATTCCAGTGATTGTGTGGTTGGGAATTTTGAAAATAATGCATTACCTGTAGAGAGGTAATTAGAATGCAGTTGGTGAAACCTCTGCCTCTTGGTGTCGCGGAAGCATCCCTCAGAGAAATGTTATGTCAACAGGCCTGTTTATGTCTATGCACGGTGCTGGTAGCTGACTTAACCAGCTAGGAATAAAAGAAGTTTCTGTGCCGGTCAGGCATTCCCAAGTATATAGAGTCAAGAATTGTCATTACTTTGACTATTAGATTTTTAAAAGGGAATGAATAGGTGTACCATAATTGAGTTTCAAATGCAGAATCATCAATAGATACACGTTTGATTAGTAATTTCAGTAGAAGAACCCGTCCAGGGTATAAGCATCTGCTTTACTTCTGTGTTGTAACGTCATCCTTCAGCTCTACAGGAAACCATGCTGCACGCACACCTGGGTCCCCGCTCTGCAGACTGGCTCTGAGCCTCCTCCAGCCCTCCCCACTGGGCCAGCTCAGACCTACATCAGGTGCAGCTTTCAAAATGATGCAGAATTGTTGAGTCCTCCCATTCTTCTGTTAAAGAAGTGGTGTCAAGGTTTCCAAACAAGAAAACTTACTGTGAGGCAGAGTTCTAGAAAACAGAACGTCAGAGCAGGAAGGGACCTGAGGAATCTTCTGCTCCAACCCTCCAACCCAGGGGAGGAAATGGAGCCTGGATTTAGAGTGCACATCTGGCTCATAGCAGAACCTGCTGCTGCCCTTCAGTTACCATTAGGATTAAGTGAGTTAACACCTTCCTGGTCCTTAGAACAGTGCCTGGGACGTGAACAGTAACTGTGAGTTATCCCTTGTTCTCATGATTTCTAGTGGCAGAGCCCAGACAGGAGCCCAGGTGCCCTAACATCCGTGCTCTCTCAGAGGCACACATTTTGTATTTCCCACATCGTATAGGGAGAAGTGCGTTTGCAGAAGTTGGGTGAAAATAGAAATAGTGGCAGCCTCAGTGCCCATTACTGAGCGTGATTGGGCACTGCTCCTGTGTGCTCCTCAGTGTCCTGTGACAGTCATGCTCCGTCATCTCCCTTCGACCCACGCGAAGGCCCAGGTGGGTAACTTTGCCCGTGGTCACATTGCTAACGAGGGGCTGGGCTTGGCTTTAACCCTGCTCTGTCTGACGTCAAAATCTATATTCTTAACTGTTATTTTATTCCAGGAATTGGCAAACTACGACCCGTAGGCCAAATCCCGCCATCCCTGTTGTTGTACAGTCTTCAAACTAAGAATGTTTTATACATTTCCAAATGGTTGGAAAAAATTACAGAAGAGAAGTAGTTCATGACATGTGACAATTATGTGGAATTCAGATTTCAGTGTCCACAGGTGAAGTTTTCTTGGCGCGCAGCCATGCCCACATGTTCACCTGCTGCCTGAGGCTGGTTTGGTGACACGGCGGCAAAGTTGAGTAGTGGTGACAGAGACCATGCGGCCTGAAAAGCCTAAAATATCTGCTGTCTGGCCTTTGCTCTCTACTCTTCCTCAGTGATTATGTTTTCAGATTCCAATTATTTAGAGCAAAATTGTGAGGTTTTTGTAGGGCCTCTCTCCTCCTGTGACCTGCCTTAGTTTGTTTCGTGTTAATTAACGTCTCAATCAAATGGTGAATAGTGTGTATACAAGGAGTTCACCTCAGATTACCGGTGTCCTTCTTTTTTCGCAGCCTGAGGAGTGACTTGTCACTGGACGACGTGTGAGACTCCTGGGGTAACCTGTTCGTACTCACTGCGGGCTGCCGCTGTTTGTGGTTTACGTGCCCGTCACATCCATTTACTGAGCTGATTATTTTTAAACCTGCAAGTGTCTTAGGTGCTGAAATCATTCTGTTTTCTTTCCTTTGTAGTGGTCTGCTGTCTTCTGACTATGTGGAGATTCACTACGAAAACGGGAAGCCACAGCTCTCTAAGGTACGAGGAACAGCATGGGAAATCCTGGCGTGTTAACAGAGAGCTGTTCGGTGCACTTGCTGGGTTTGATGTCTATCCCAATAAGATCATCTGTCCTCATATACAGGGTTCTATTTTTAAATTTAAAATAAATTTAGGAGAACTCTGTTAAAACTTACAAATATTTGAGATAAGATTAGAGAGTCTGTATATCCAGGCCAATAAAGAAACATTTATTGTTTTGGTTACACATACAGTGGCTGTGTAAGTGAGCGGTATAGAGAGCTGTTCAGTTCCATATGAGCACCTTAAAGCAATGGATGATCAGGCTCCTGGGCACAGAATCTGAATGATAAGACTGGACAGGCTGTTAGAATGACTGTTTAGTCCCAGGGACTTTGGTGCCTGAGAAGGGCAGAGGACAGGTGGGGAGAAAGACTTCAGGAACGCTCTCCCTCTTAATCTTCACAACAATTCTATGAGGTGGATGTTATCATTCCTGTTGTGCAAAGGAAGGAACTGAAGCAAAGAAAGGGCAATTAAACCTGCTCAAGGCCACCAAGCTCTGTAGTACACAGGTAATCAGGGACCTGTTCCTTCAGTTGGAGATTAACTTCAGTTCTCTTCACGGAGGATCACTAGGAGCAAGTGGGTTTAGACTGGGACAAGGGAGAGATGCTCTGTATGTAAGGACACAGTCATCCGCACTGTCAGGGTGAGGGTCCCTGGAGGGGCTGCGTCCAGACACTGACTGTGGGGAGTTTGCAGAGTCCACTGAGCCTGGGGAGGGTCCCCAGACTCCGCGGGCACTGGAGAGGAAGCGGGGACACAGAACAACGTGGAGAAACATGACTGGGTTTAGGTTTTTCTAGATTGCTGGCAAGTGTCGGCACCAAAGTGGACCTTCCCTTTGTCCAAGTGGGCTTGCGGGGTCGTGCAGCAGGGCAGCTGGGTTTCTAGTCTGACAGCCTCTCCACAAATATTTATGAGGCCTTACTTGTAAAGACCGCCTGGGGGACCTGGCATTTCTCAGGATTTATGACTGTCCAATGCTCAGTGGGCACGTTTGTAATTTGATGTGTGTTCCATGCCCCAGGTTAAGAACTTCCATATGTTATTCTTGCTAGTCTGTCGGTTCTTGCCTTAGGTGGCATCGTGGGGGTTGTCAGGTCTCCCTAGAAGTTAATGCTGTGGAAGGAGAGCAGAAATGCTAACTCAGGCCGGACGGTGCTTCCTGGCACTCGCACAACCCAAGCTCCTGTCAGCCGTGCCGGAGCTGGGCCTGCGGATGCTGCGTCATGAGTCTGGAGGAGAGGAGATTGCACAGGAACTTGATGGACTCAGCAGACAAGCCGCCTTTGCAGGCCGCAGTAACCTGACCCAAACTTCTCAAGAAGTTGTCAACTTTTTTTTAGAAGCAGAATAGCTAATCGGCCTCCAGGGGTTATTTGAGGTCCCCAAAGGAGACCTTATTATTAGTAAGACAGCCAGGTCTCGTATCAGGGTGCATCAGCTCTCGTTTGTTTTCGTGGGCATTGCTTTTCTCTTATTTATGACTCATTTTCTCCAAACAGTTCATATACTCAAACTTACTTTCTATATAATGGATTAATGGTAGCAGTCTGTTTTTTATGTGTCTGTATTTATATATGCACCCCCCAAAACCAAGATGATATGATACACACTGTCTTGTAGCAGGATTTTTTTAACTTAGCAATATTATAAACATTTTAGCATGTATTAAATAGTTTTCTAAACTTTTATTTTAAAAAATGCATAATATTCTTTCCAATTCATTTGCTGTAATTTGTCTAAAAACCCCATCGTAATAGACATGTAGATTGTTTCCAGTCTTTCACTATACGAATAACTCTAAGGAAAGTTCTTCCAGGTATATTTTGAACATGTCTTTAATAATTACTTAAGAATGGGATGTTCTGGGTCAAAGAATTGGTACTTTTTTAAAAGGCTTTGGTACCTATTGACAACTTTTCTTTCTGAAAGTATGTATAAATTCACTCTCTCACTGCCATTACAGACACATTTTTAAAAGCGTTTTTTTTAAACACATTGCCGTCTGTGTTGTTTAAGAAAATCTTTGTATAGAGTACACGAGAAGGAAGTGAACCTGTAAGACTGGCTGAACTGGAAAACCTGCTTGTGCAACTTTATTCCAAAGATCTCAAAAGACACACACACACACACACACACACGCACACACACACACACTAGTATTCACATTACTAGGGAGGAACGGGATCACTAATAGCCTGTTTGTCTTTGAAGTTAAATATAAATGTGGACATTTAAAGTATTCTGGCAATTCATTTCACACAAAATGATGAACCCACACTTCGAAGCAGCTCATCTGGGTTTTCCCAGTTCACCCCACCAAGCTCCCACCTGGTTCCCACTTCCAGCTAAGAAGAGGCTCCTCTTAGGCTTTTACTTCCATTGGACAAAAGTGGGTTAAAAAGGCTTCTTTTTTTGAAGCAAATATAGGAACTGGAGGGGTCAACCAATTAGTAGGTGAGATAGAACAGGTGCCAGGTGTCAATAGGCAGAACTTCCGTCCTGCGCCTGACAGAGCAGTAGTTTTTGTTGGAGTTCTCAGCACAGTACTTTGCACACAATATACAGTAAAACAACGTTGTTGGTTTGTTGATCAACTTTGTTGATGAGCCTAATAAAAGTAAATTAATTTTTAGTATTTCAATTCTTATAAAAGAGTTAGGCATCGATACGACAGTATAAAAGTACGTTTCAAACTTGACATATTTCTGTAAAATCCCTTTTAGGTGAACCATTAACTAGATGCTTACTAATACTCTGGTTTCTCCTCTCCTAATAAACAGAGCTGCCCCCGGCCAGCAGTGTGAGCCTGAACAGATGGAGCAGTGCTCCTGTCCCTGCATCCCCTGCCGATCCCTCTTTATCACTGCTGGGGAAAACAGTCCTCTCCTGGCTCTGTTTTCTCACTTTACCTTCTTCCTGTCCCCTTGCTCACTGCTGCCCAGGGAAGGAAGAGCGGCTTAACTGACAGGCAGGAGCTGGGCTTGTCTATGGAGGCCCTTCCTCCCTTTCTTTTGTGAGATCCACCTCCCTACAGAGAGGGCACATTCTCTACTGTTTATGCTCTCAGTTGTACAATGGGAGCCCGTGTGTGTGTGTGTGTGTGCGTGTGTGTGTGTGTGCTGGGGTGTCGGTTGTCCCATGTTGTCTGTGCCTTGGTGGGTAAGTCTGGCTAACTCAGGGAGCAGCAGTAGCAGGCCTGTGAGGTTCTCAGCTCATCCTCTCCTCCAGTATAGCACTATCAAACATGAAGGTGATATTTTTATCTCTGTTCAGTCCTGTGTCGTTTTCTCATTTGGTGTTAAACGAGGATGAGTACCCCTTCAGACCCCCTAGGATGGCTCTCATCAAGAAGATGGGCAATAACATGTGCTGGCAGGGTGTGGACAATGAGAACCCTCATACGCTGCTGGTAGGAAGGTAGAATGGAGGAACTGCTTTGGAAAATAGTTTGGCAGTTCCTCAAAAAGTTAAGCATAGAGTTACCTTGTGACCCAGCAGTTCTGTACCTAGGTGTATATCCAAGTGAATTAAAAACATATGTCCAAGCAAAACCTTATACGTGGATGTTCATAGCAGCGTTATTCATACTAGCAAGAAAAGTGGGAACGGGCTGGCCTGGTGGCGTGGTGGTTAAGTTTGCGCCTCCACTTCAGAGGCCCAGGGTTGGCAGGTTCAGATTCTGGGCACAGACCTGCACCACTCATCAGCTGTGCTGTGGCGGTGACCCACATACCAAATGGAGGAAGATGGGCACAAATGTCAGCTCAGGGACAACCTTCCCCACCTAAAAAACAAAAACAAAAACAACAAAAGTGGAAAGAACCCAAATGTCCATCAGTTGATGACTAAATAGACAAAATGTGGTCTACCCACACAAGGGAATATTTTTCAGCCATTAAAAGGAATGAAGTCCTGATACGTCTACAATAGTATAATTGTAAAGATTATACTAAATGAAAGAAGCCAGTCACAAAGGACCACAAATTGTATGATTCTGTTTATTTGAAATGCCCAGAATAGGCAAATCTATAGAGAGCAAAAGTAGATTAGTGGTTGCCAAGGGCTAGGGGGTAGGGAGGAATGGGAATGACTGCTGATGGGGACAGGATTTCCATTTGAGGTGATGAAAATATCCCAGAGTTAGATGGTGGTGATGGTTGCATGACTCTGTGAATATACTGAAAACCCCTGAATTGTACTCTTTACAAGGGTGAATTTTATGGTTTGTCAATTATATCTCAGAAGAAAAAACCCCTCAGGTGGGGAATGGGGGTTTATTTACCCACCCTCTCAACAAACATGAATCCTCTGCTCTTTGAGTTTGGTGTTGTCACTTAGGCTCATGAATAAGCCATTTTTACTCATTTGTTAAACAGATAACCTCAATTTAGCTTACTAGGATCTAGTCACTGGCCTAGGTGGTGTACATCAGTGAACCAAACAGATGAACACCCTGCCCTTGTTCTTCTCTTTATCACTGAATCACATCGCCCTCCTGGGACGTTTCTGTGCTTCTCTTATCACATCATGCCCGTGGCTCAGCTCACGTCCACTCCTTCTGTGAAGGCTTCTAGGTGGGGATTATTGTCAGAGGGAAGGGGCCTCTGTGGGCACAGCTCCTGGCTGGGAGGTTAAAAAAATCTGCCATGAAATCAAGAGAGCAGACAACAGTGGCTCCTCACAAAGCTATTTTAAGTTTGACTAGTATAATTTATACGAACTATTAAAAATTTATATGGCATTGGTACAGCCAAACTGTTCTAATATTTTATTAAACAACTGCTGGGACATTTTCCCCCTTTGAGTTTAAGGAAGGTAAATAATTCAGCTGGTGCTGGGGTCTTGAGTTCCCTGATTCTCTGAAATATCTTTTTCATTTCCTTATTCTCCAGTGTTCAAATTCAGGTCTATGTATCCAATTATAGATATCTTCTTCTATTTCTCTTTTGCTACCAGTCCACTGACTTGTTAAATAGATTGATACACTCTGCTGGTTAAGTTTGAAGTATTTCAAGATGTGCATATAGAATAATCATGTGAATATAGTGTCATATTTTATTATTATATTCAGAACCTAGACTATCATAATATACACATTTGTGAGCTAAGGCCTATGTGGTTTCTTTTCAAGTGTTTATTCACACGTTCTAGAGTCGACTGAAAACATTAGTGCTTGGTCACCATGAATGCCCAGGTTATGAGTTTCTTAAGCAATAAAGATAATAAGAGCTGGCTGATTGAACTTTACTGAAGCAGATGAGATAATTAACAAGCACAAAGGAGCAATTTTCAAATAAATTAAATTGAAACAATAGGTTCTGTTTTCCAATAGGTTCTATTTAAGGTGAGTAGAAATTCAATGGATATTAAAAAAAGTAAAAATAGAGTAGAATCAAACCATTCCTGTCATCCAATCAACAGTACCAGGGAACCAAATCTTTTTTTGTCTCCAAGTTGTTCTCACTAGACTCACAGAGTTGACATCCCTGACCACTTCTGATTAGGAAGTGTTTTGAAGGATGCACATGGCTGCAGTGTTTCATTATTTACAGGAGTGGCCTGGTGGTTTCCAGCGGGCTTCTTAGCTTGGCAACCTTGTGGAGCAAACGTGCCGTTATTTGAACGTTATCAGGCTTGTGGAGTGTTCAGCTGTGTGGAAATGGTAGGCTGAGAAAGTTGAGAAACATACTTACCGGGATTTCTAAGCTTTTTTGACTGGGCAATAACTTCTGCTTATCAGATGCTCCATTTTGTTGAATTTAATTAACTGACTGACAGCTTTGAATCTGAAAATGCCCATGGGGACACACATGGACTTGTGTCATGTACCAAATGAGCCCTTTTTGGTTCTCCTGCCTGCTGTTTGCCTCGTCCCACTTCTGTGACCCACTCAAAGGTGGTGATCTCGAAGTCGCTGGCCAGTGCTCTTGAACTGTCTGAGGCCTTCCTGACTGGAGAAAGAAGCACGAATTTGAGAGCCTGAAGATGTGGGATTGTTTGGCCTGTCGCTGTCTTTGGCAGTGCCTTTCAGCACCGTGTGACCGTCTCCCTGTAGGTACATGTGGATAGTTATACCATGGCGTAGAGTGATCAAGATAGCTAGGTCCTCGTGTGGAAGGCACCCCCATAGCTGAGGATGCAGCGTCACCATAGCGAAGCCATCTGGAGTGGCCTCTCTGCACTGGCCTGCTGCTGTTATCTCTGTTACCCAAGAGGGAATGCCTCTTCTCAACTGGGGCTTATTTAATGTGAAATACCTCAAGATGTTGCTTTGCAGTGGTGTTTACAAAATGCTGCAGAGATCTGGAGAGTTGCCAATTAGTATTTTTCTGGTAATGCTTTCTTAAAAACTTGGTATAAATTTAATAATAAGAAACTCAGAAAATCTTCTAATACTGCTAATACTAATTCTAAATTAGAACCTGCCAAATTGCTTATAGTGCTGAATATAACTACACAATTTAGATGTTGGAGCTTTCTTATGGGGATAAACATCAGGGACTGGATGTTACCTCAAGTCTCATTTAAGGTCCAGAAAACACGGTGCTCCACATTCAAATATACAGGGAATATACTGTTCCCTTCAGATAATATTCTGCCTTAATTAAAACAAGTAACAATGACTTTTATACTGAGAGAACATCAACCTTCAGTTTCCAATGCAAGTGAATGAAACTAAAATCTAAGAAAGGACTTGGAAATATTTTCTGGGGAAAAAAAAGAATATTTTTAGGGAAATCTGAAAAAATATAGCTTTTCTTAGAAAGGTCAAGTAAATATGACAGTGTTTGCTGTGCACTTCTGATAATCACCTGACTTAAGATAGCCTTCGCGTGTGATACAAAGTGCTAAATAACCAGTTTGATGAAATTTACAGTTACCTATGGTTTTTAGAATCATGTGAAGAGTTTGAAATTTAATTGCAGAATATTGACCTGGTTTCTCATATTGCTGAGATGTGTGATACCATTTGTCCTTATAAGTTCCAGAATTGAATATGCAAGTAGAACTTGACATATTATATACAAGTCAATATTTATATACAGGGTTGCTTTTCAGTTCTTAAAAAGCAACCCTTCACAAAATATTAACAAGGTTATAATAGCCAATTTAGACAACTAACATTGAAAATTTGTATTATAGTTACTAAAAGGAAACAAGCTGAGTTGGTGGGGGAGTGGTCATTTGGTGTGTGAGGTAGCCTTTGAGGCTATTGTAATACAGTATAAAAAGCAGTGATCAAAATGACTGTAAATCATCAGTAAAAAGTCGAAGTATGTTTAGTATATTTTATTTAAGAAAATAAATAGAAAGCTTCTGGTTAAACATTGTGGATTCACTGCTTATATTTATCTCTATTCCCTCCCAATAACCCACTCAAATAACAGTTAAGGAATAAAAAAGGATATAAACCCACAAGGACAAAGACAAGAGAAGAAAAGACAACAGATGAGAGGTGTCCATAAACTTGTAGGAGATGGAGGGGTAACTGTCTCAGAGTTGAGCTTTTCCTGCTCTGCTAAGTTCCATTGGGGGAAACCCAGAAGAAACAAGCCAACCCCTGTCACCTCTCCCACAAAGGCCAGGAACTGAAGACACATGAAAACAGAAAGTTTGGTTGAGAGTCTCCGTGGAGGGTATTTAAATCCAGGATCTACTCCGTACCCCATATAGCCAGGTGGCCATCCCTTCTCTACTCTGGTGTAAGAACTCATTTATAGAGAAAAAGGGAAAGGAGGGAATTATCAGAGAAATAACAAAGGTTTCCCAGAACTGAAGCACTTGCATTTTTCTTGATTAAAAGTTGTGACAAAGTGCCCAGCACAGTGAATAAGCAAGGACCCACACCAAGTCATGTCATGGGATTTCATGAAAATGGAGATGAATAGGATTTCCTAAAGTCTTCTTGAAACGGGAAAAAATAGATTTTATAAAAAATATGTAACATTGGAATAACATCCAATTCTCAGCAGCAACATTAGAAGCTATAAGACTGCACCTTGCCACTGAAATACTGAGAGAACATAATTTCCAATCTAGAATCCTTTACCCATCTGAATGATCAATCTTTTGTGAAGAAGAAAAAGAAATTTTCAAATGTGCAAATTCTCAGTATATTTATCTTCCATGAACACTTTTCCAAGAAAGTACCAAAGGATGTGTACCTTCAAAAAAGGGGAGGGTGAGACCATGAATGGAGAAGACATGGGGTCTAGAATTCAACCTAGAAGGGAGGCCAAGGGAGTTGCCGGGATGACGCTAAAGAGAAGTCCTGGGTGGTGGCTGTGATCAGGCCAGCAGGAGGATGAAGGGAAACAGCAGGAGTGTTTCCAGGAACAAGCTGAGTATGAGAAATTACCTGATATGTTTGACCCTAGGAAGGGTTGTAGATAATATCTTAGATAATGGGGAAAATTTAAGTGCTAAGACATGGAAAAGTTAGCAAGCAAGAAAGTGAAGCAAAAATTCTTGAAAAAATTAAAAATGGAGCAAGAAAGAAAATGTAATCATGGTGGCACAGCTATGAACAGTATATGCATAGTCATAATACAAAAACACTACATATCAATTTAACCAAATACTGGTGATGTGTGTTGGAATGTATTGGGGGCAAGAGGGGCTTTCAAGAGTCTATATTAGGAAGATAATTTCTAAAATGAAGTAAATCAGGACATAGAAGTATAAATGTTCCATTCACAAAGACATAGGTAAACAACAGAAGAAACAGCTAAAAGAGTTTAAAATGGTTGCCATGGAGATGAGGAGAGAGGGAGAAAGGAAACTGCTGTATTTTTTAAAATAGGCCTTGTAGTTACTATTTGACTTTGAAAACTAAGTTTATAGATTATCTCTAAAAAATTTTTTAAAAACAAATTTTAAAAGGTAGGCAAGCAGATAAGATTTTATGTAGTTTTCCATCAAAAATAATTATTAACAACACCTTTGGGATCTCTCCTCAGTTAGGTAGAAGACCTTATTCCATAACAATATCTGGTAAGCATCTCCTCCCTTACATGCTTAAGAAAGATATATAAGTTGTACTAGTTGCTTTCATGTCTTATTTCTTTAAAGTCTCTTCTCTTTCATTAACTTTAATATACACATGCTCGTTATAGGAAAATTGAAAAATTGCCTAGTGCTCTTTGAGATTTCATATCAACCAGGAGGAGTTTCTAGGACCATCTTGCACTTCTTTTTGCTTTATAGAAGCGTCTCAAAGAGTGAATCACATTGCAGAAAGCATAATTTCTCAGTTCAGCCTTCTTCTGCGTTGTAGGGTGGAGAACACTGTTACTACCATGGCAGCATCAGAGGCGTCAAGGACTCCAGGGCGGCGCTGTCGACCTGCAACGGACTGCAGTACGTGGGGCTCTCACTGGGAGGATGAACTTGCTTTCCTGCATTCAACCATCCCATCTTTCTTTCACAGATATTTATTTTAGTGACTGTTCTGTGCCAGTCCTGTGTTAGGGACTGGATATGGAGTGATGAACAAGGAGGGCATAGTCCCTGCTCTCTTAAAACTTAGCGTTTGCAGGAGATTCAGAGATTAAACAAATGATGACACAGATTAATATTTTATTGTCATTTTGGTAGGCACTGGGAAGGGGAAGGACAGGGACTTGTGGGGTGACTGAACTTCTTCCAGGAAGGGTGCCCAGAGGACATAGCAGTCAGATTAGACCTGAGGATGAGTAGGAGTTAGCCGGGTGAGGGTGGAGTGTAGGAGAGAGGAGCTCATGCTGCGGCTTCCAGGCAGGCTCGAAAACACATCTGTAGGCGCCTTCTGGGCCCGAACACAGAGCACTTCATGTAGAGGTCTAGTCGTGGCCGTGTGGTGAAAAAGGATCTTGGAAATCTTATCTTCCCACTTTATGAGAAGTCCCCTCTCCCAAAATTAAATGTGGTTTGCAGCACTGAGTGACACTGCTTGATGAGGATTCACAATTTGCCAGCACGAAGATACTTCTGTTTGCCTCTTCAGAGTCAAATGGTTTTAGGTTATTCTTATGCATGAAGAACCTGTCTATTTTCTTATAGATGATGTTGGGTTTGCATGATAAGAAATTTTGCTAGTTGTACGTTGTTCTGGAATGGTAACTTGAGATACTGGAACTGCATGAATATTCCTGTTCCAGATTAATCCTCTAATCTGTCCATTTAGTTGCAGAAGTTAATGCTATCAGGTATAGTTTGGACGCTCTTGGTCTACACTTTACACCTTTGTAGCCTGTGTGTTGTTCAGCACAGAGCTGGGACCACAGTGGGCCTCCGTACGGATTTGTGAATTAGATTTGGAGCAGCATAAAGGCATTTGTTCAGATACACTCTCTTTTTAAACACACGGTAGGAAGCTCACTGCTATTTCTTGCTGTTTGCTGTATTTGCTAATTCTCTCCGTGTGGGGTCTCTTGCGTTATAGTGGCATGTTTGAAGATAATACCTTCGTGTATATGATAGAGCCGCTGGAGCTGATTCATGATGAGGTAAGTCTGACTGTGACATCAGTTTCCTTATGGTGTTTTCTTCTTCCAGCATCTGTGTCTTTGAGCAATAAAAAGCACATAAGGTGGATTTCCACACGCACTTATGTCTAGTACCTTGTTTCAAGCTTGGAACGATACCAAGAGTTTTGAAGCTTCATTTGCACATCTCAGGCCACACGCCGGTGAGGCAGGATGAGAGGCAGCACACCCAGGTTTTCTGAAGCAAAGGCCGGTTCTTTCCAGGCTTTAGAGACAGCAGAGAGGACAGTTTTGTACTGGCCAACTTCTTTTCCTTTAAACTAGCGTTTATTCTCACTTCTTTAGATACTTGTGCAGCTGTAAGCATGTACTTACCTTCTGTGTGTCTAAGAATCTTCGGCAGGGAAATTGTGGATTGAGCTACGATTACATTATATAATATTTACTTTTCTTTAGAGATAGGGAAAAAAATGATGTTTAGAGTCATGCACAGGCCAGCAACCTAGGCAAGAAATCTGAGGGTATTATGCTAAGTGAAATAAGTCAGATGGGAAAGACAAATACTATATGATCTCACTTTCATGTGAAATCCAGAAAAACCAAACTCATAGAAACAGAGAACAGGTTAGTGGTTACCAGAGGTCAGTGGGGGAGATGAGTGAAGGGGGTCAAAAGGTGCAAACTTGCAGTTGTGAGATAAATAAGTCCTGGGGATGTGATGTACAGCATGGTGACTAAAGATAACAATACCGTATTGTATACGTGAAAGTTTCTAAGAGAGTAGATCCTAAAAGTTCTCGTCACAGGAAAAAAAATGTAACTGTGTGAGGTGATGGATGTTAACTAAACTTATTGTGGAGATCGTATTGTAATGTATACATTTATCAAATCATCATGTTGTACAACTTAAACTTATACAATGTTATATGTCAATTATATCGCAATAAAACTGGAAAAAAAAAGAAATCATGTACTCTAATAGTGTTACTCGCTAATAGAATGCAACCAAATTTAAAATCTGATATATATTCATCAAATAGTGTAATGAAGGCTTTCTACATGCTGGGTACTATTTCAGGTGCTAGGGATAAAGTGGTGAACAAAACAGACGTAGAGGCTGAGCCTAATGGAGCTTACAGTCTAGAGGCGCAGCTGGGAGTAAACAGGACGAGTAAGGTCATACATACGCTGTGCTAGACAGTGCGACCTGCTGAGGAGGAGAAATGAAGCCAGGAAGGGGGAGTTCCACCTTCACACTACCTGTCTAGGGAGGAGCACAAGGAGATGGGAGTTTTGAATGAAGACTTTCAGGAAATTAGGGAGCTGGCAGAACATTCCAGGAGAGGAGCAAATATGGAGGCAGGAGTGTCCCTGGTGTGTTGTGGGAACTGCCTGGAGAGGAGTGGACGGGGAGACTGGTGGGAGGTGAGGCCTGAGAGTAACAGGAGGGACGTCCCCGCGGTGAAAAACCTGCTGATGGGAAAATAGGATTCTGAGAGGGAGAGGGTCAGGATATGGCAGTCATTTGATGGGAAGCAGAAAACGTGTTTTATCTCTAGAGATTTCAAATGTAGATAAAATAGATTTTGAAACAGGTAGTGGTCATTTAGGCTATTGATAATAACGGTTGAACAGACGAACATTTATATTCTTTGTTGTGGCAATGTATTATGAATATGGGGTAATTTCAAATCTGAGGCAGAAAAGTCATTAAATTTTAAATAGTTAATGTTTGAATAAACCTGTATCATTTTCAGCTAGTCACTATAAAAATTACCAGATGACAAAGACACTCCACCTAGATAAAGACATGTTGACTAAGTGAAATGGTTTTTCCCTACTCCAGTGGTAAGTAAATAACCTGTACACAGCAAAATTATTTTGACTCATTCAGCAAAAAATTGACTTTGATTTCTGGCATTGATTAATGGCCCTGTTACCCTAAAAAACAAAACAAAACAAAACCCAAAGATCAAAACAGAGAGACCAAAATAACAATTCCCTAAGCCTTAGAGGTTTTAAATATGTAAAAGGAGATAATTTTCAATGCATCCCTAATAGGGCAATTTTGCAGATTTGATGAATTAATAAATGTATGTGACTATGTCTAATAAACTGCTGAAGAGATTTACAGATATAAACTGTTATGATAATGGTTAAGGCATTGGTTTTGCATTGTTATGCCCACAGCCGTATTCTCCAGGGGCTGATGGCTACATGCTGATGCCTCTTCTTTCCCTTCTTCCTTCCTGCCTCCTTTAGTTCCTGTGACCGTTGGTCCTCGTCTTCACCCTGGGTAGAGGGGAAGGAACAGCACTAGAAGCTTTAAATTAGTCAGTTTTTAGAATTGTGTTTCTAATCCACTTGTGAGTGTCATTACTCTAGTGATCTTTTCACCTGTTGCCAGAATTAAGAGTTTACGTGAATTTAGACTTTTTGATTTTTAGTTCATTATTATTATTATTAAATTTAGTATGCTTTACAGTAAGTCCACTAATGTGGATGGGATATTTCTAATGTGAATTCCTGTTATCGCTCAAGTAATAAATGAATAGCAAAACTCTTAATTATTGTCTTTTATGTAATCTATTGAGGACACTTTTTTATAACTGTTTTTCTAATTATAAAACTAATTCACTGTAGGAAATTTGGAAAAGCAAAGTAAACAAAAACTTAACTAAATAGTAATTATTAATCATCCTCTCCCCCAGGGATAACTTCTCTTCACTTTTCAGTGTACACTCTTCCAGTTTTCCAACGATATATTCCCATATTTTAAAAAATAAATTGGATCATTATTTTGTAATATAGTTTGTCTCAATAATGTGTCTTTCTGAGCCTCAATATTTTTATTTGTAAAATGGGAATGAAATGCACGCTGCATGGAGTTGTGAGGATGAAATTGGGTAATGCGTACATTAACAGTGCCTGGGACATTCTGTGCACTCAGTGACGGAAGCTAGTAGTAATCATAGTAATGATAAGAAGACGTTTCTAAAAGTGTAATTTCTAGGGCAAAGGATATGAATATTTTCAAGGTTGCTGATAGAATTGCTAAATTTCTCCCTGAACTATGCTACCAATTTACTCCTACCAGCAGTATACGAGAAGGCTTTTTGCCCTACAACCATAATTAACTATGGTTATCTAATTTTTAAGCCTTGCCAACTTGATGACAAAAATTGGTATATCTTTTTTTAATTTGCATTTTGAAGGAGTATTAAAGTATTTGTCATTTTTTCGTATACTCATTGACTGTTTAGTTTCTTTCTTGTGAATTTCCTGTTCATGGCTTTGAAGAAAGCTAAGGTTTAAGAGTAGCCAATAAAACTATGCTTTTTTCTAAACTACAGCAATTGGATGATGCTCTATTTTATTTAAAATTAATGTTTTAATAAGATATATACTTTTCATTTTTGATAGGTAAACAATGTGTAAATGTTTCCATTTTAGGAAGGATGTTAGAGAAAGTTCTAACACTATTCCATAGACGCTTGATCACATCTTGCTTTTTAATGGTCTGTAATTGTTTTTGTTTCAGAAAAGCGCAGGTCGACCACATGTCATACAGAAAACCTTGGCAGGACGATATTCTGAGCAAATGAAGAGTCTCAGTAAGTTTTAATTAAAGTCGCGTTATATTTCATGTGCTGGGAGCCGTGACGTGGTGAAGTGGGCGGAAGACGTGCAGACCTTTGGGAAGTGCAGTTGGTCTGAGATCTGGAGTGAGCAGAGTGCGTGGGCAGTGGGGTGCACTGTGGCTTTCACGCAATGAGGTGCGGGAGGCATTTCCCATGGAAAGATGGAAATGTGGAGCCTAGGAGTAAAGCTGCATCCGGAACCAGAGAGTGTGGCCAAATTTAACAGAGTGATTTACCGCGAGGTCCATCCTTAAATTTCCCTGGCAGTTTATTGCTCTTTAGCAAACTTATATCCTCTCTCTCATGCTCTGGTCCTAAGGCATCTTAAGTGCACGGATGTTGGTAAAAGCTTCTTTTGGGTTAGGACATGTGTATATGAATGCCAAAAGTCTTTAATAATTTATGCAAAAACTTATACATAAATATACATTATTTTAAATTCCAAAATGAATTAAGCATAGTAGAATTCTAAATTTTCAGATACTCAGGGTCAGGTGGTTGTAAGTCAAATGTGCTTATTCTAATGAGTCTTGAAGAGCTCATTATGTTTTTGATGACATTTGGAAGAAAATTCCGCCCTTGAGTTATATTTGTGACCAGGAGAATGTGAAATGTTTAATGATCGGCGTACTTTTTCATCCTAGTTTATTTGCTTTTGACATGATGTATGCTATCAGTGCCGCTATTCCTTCACCTAATATTTTAAAAACATACTCCCTTTGAAGACGCAGTCGAACATAAATTTGGTACTCGTCTTTCTTTTACGCAGATGTGGAGGGCAGTGACCAGTGGCCCTTTCTGTCTGGAGTGCAGTGGTTGAAGAGGAGGAGGAGAGCAGTGAATGTGAGTGTGGCTGGAGACGCAGGGGGCCGTTTCACTCGTGAGATGGTGTGGCTGGAGACGCAGGGGGCCGTTTCACTCGTGAGATGGTGTGCCTGTCGCCACAGGATCGAAGTGTGCCTAAAAAAGCTGGGATTTGGGAACCTCCTCTCGCAAATAAAAACAACAAACCAAAAACCCTATGATCTGAGTCTTACAGGCTTATTGCTTTTTGTTCAACTTTCCCTGTTAGTGATGGAAGTTGATGACAGTATTCCATGAACCCTGTTGTTGTGTAAGGAATGTATTGTTTTGGCTCTATTCTCAAAGTGTTTTCTTATGAAAATTGCAGTGCATTTTTTTCTATTGCAAGTACAACTGGCTTTTTTTCCCCATATGGTTTATAGAACATCGTATAAAACATTTCTGCTAACGAAAAACGTAGGGGGAGGAGTTAGGTTTTGAAATGTTTGCTATAATGCTTATTTGTGTTTCTTTCAAATTAAAAACTCTGTTATACCAAACTTTGAAGCTGGATGTGTTTTTCTGAACAGAATGAATCCCTTTGACCGTTAGTATCATGACAGTTCCTAAATAAGAATCATGTAATTATATAATCAACAGCTGTCGTATGGCTCCCATGTACTGATACGTGTATAGGGGCTTTGTAACTGAAATTATGTTCCTCATCTTTTTCATAATAGATTAGAAAGCTGTAATGATGGGGACTGTTTAGTAAGTACATGGTGAATGCTGTGTAACTGAGAATTAATTCCACAGCATATAGATTACATGGTAATTTACTAGATAACTTAATGAGTAATTATACTGGAAATTGCACATTTTAGATAATGTTTTGCTGAATGTATTTTTTGTGGAAAAATTAGACCACCAGCCATCAAAAACTTAGTTACAGGTTAAATCATCCTCTTTATTTATGAGCCTGTCTTTGTATTGTGGTGATTATGGATACAAATTTTTTTTTTTTTTTTTTTTTTACTTAGAGATCTCTTTTTGCTTACTCTTGAAGATGTGGTTGGTAATAATAAGTTTTATACAGGATGCTAACATTTCACTACAGTCCACGCCATCATGATCAATGACCATGTACTTTTCCAACTATGAAAAAGAAATAAAAGTCCAAATGATGGCTAAAATACTTACCCTTGCTCTTAAAGGATTATCTAGTAATAATCAAAATTTAGAAGAATTTAGAATATTGTAATTGTCAGTATTTGTTCCTTTGAGCAGTTGTATGGTTAAGAATTTGTACATTATCATTAGAATTGCACCCCATTGAGTTCATGTTCCTATGTGATACAGTGGTGCCTGCCCCAGAGGTGCTGTGCCATTCTTATTACATGAATTTTAAGTAGGTTTTCTTTGAAGTTTTAAATAGATATGTACATTTTTATCTTATATCTTAATGCCAAAGAAATTGAGATTTATTTATTTTAACAGAATAATACTGTACATTTTTCTCTAGAATATTTTTACATATAAAAACAACATGGGCTGTTCTCTATCTTGATGAGCACTGTAATGGTAATTAAATACAGCTCTTTTCTGAATACTTGAATGCTTATCCACACTTTGCAGTCACGTTTTTAGATTTCCCTGGCCAAGTTTCTTCCAGGGTGTTTATGAAGTAGGCAGCAAAGGGTTCTTCTGAAATTCAGGGTCAAGCTACAACTTAACAGTCAGCATCAGAGATATTTTATATCAGTCACCTTCTGAACGTAAACTTTTACTTTCCACAGCCATCTCGTGGTGTGTTTGAAGAAATGAAATATTTGGAACTTATGATTGTTAATGATCACAAAACGGTAAGAATATAGAATCAATGGGTTGTAGACCCGGTAACTTACTTAAGAAAGAATACATTTCACTTTATATATAATCATTATTTGTTACTTATTAAAACCAAGATATTTAGAGGCTTTATTTTTTTTGGAAATATTAAATGACTTGATTTATTTCATGGTGTTTGGAAACACTGGGTTTCATAGAATTTTCACAACTCTAAACTTTCCCTTTGTTTAATAATGACTGTAATTAACGGATTTAACTACATACTTGTTTGGCATCTTCCACTTGTCTTCATTTAAAATTCTGATTCTTTACTTTGCTTCATCTGTGTATTTGGTTACTGCTTTCTAATTTTATTCCACCTCTTTGTTCTGCTAACATTTTATTTTGTCTTACTAATTATTATGGTTTGTGGCAGATGTAATTATGAGATAAACATATATAATAAAGGTATGTCCAAAGAGACTATCTTTCCCTGATGATTTATCTTCTTTAATTATTGGAAAGATGAATAATATTGTGTTACTTTTGTCAAAGTAAAATGTGATTCAATGTGCCACTCAGTAATACTTAATAAACATGAAAAATAATTATTGCCCTCCATTGGCCCCTCTTGAAGATTAAGTAGAAACTTTCTTAACCATACTCTATTTATTTAACCGTTTCCCTTATAAAATATCTTGGCTGAAACCTAGAGCATTCTAAAGAGTCTTGGTCAGTAGCTGTTTGTTAGTATACCCAATAGTTGTGGGGTGCTGATCAATGTTGAACGCCCGGCTCTCTGAAGAAAAGCCTTGATTTGCAATGTTTGCTGATATCCAGGTTGTAAACACTCCCACCATGGCTGATTTCAAGCTACCAAAGTGAGGTCACTAAACGGCGAGCTGGGCAAGATGCCTCCAGTTGCTCATGTGAACTGGGGGAGCTGGCTCCAGCACCCTGCGCCACACTTCCCAAACTGTTTAGGCCAGTTGTAATTACATAACTTAGTATTAAAAATTGCATAAACCAAGACAAATAGTAGTTGTTTTTATGAAAACTAAGTTCCGTTTCTGGAAAGATGAGAATCTTTTAAGAAATACTTAAAAGTCAGGTATGAGTGAAAAACTTGTAAAAGATAGCAACAAAAATTCAGATTGCTTTGCAAACACCTTAAAAGTCCTCGTTTTACTTTATGGAAATCGAAATTAGATTACTAGACTTATAGGATAAGGTTGTGTTTCATACAAAAATGACAATGTAGAGCCAGCCCTGATGGTCTAGTGGTTCAAGTTCGGCATGTTCCACCTCAGAGGCTCCGGTTCAGTTCCCAGTGGCCGGCTCAGTTCTGTCAGCAGCCATGCTGAGGCGGCGGCTCACGTAGAAGAACTAGAAGGACTTACAACTAGAATACACAACTATGTGCTGAGGCTTTGGGGAGGGAGAAAAAAAAAGAGGAAGATTGGCAACAGACATTAGCTCAGGGCGAATCTTTCCCAGCAAAAAAAAAAAAAAAAAAAGACAATGTGAAATTCTAATCAGCAGACCCTGCTCAGAAAAGACCTTGAAACCAAATATTTTTTTAAAATATAAGGTGACAATTTATATTTAAATTTTTATTTGAGTCTCTACTTTAATAGTTGTTTTCCATTAATTACCAAGTACTAGTTCAATTATGTTGAATATTATTCACTAGAATACCTCTTAATTTTATATGCAGGTTTATTTTATTTACCAGTAGCTTTTAAATATATTGCTTGATATATGTTAGAAGAAGCAGAATTTTTCAGAATTACATACAATTTAGGAAAGATCTTCCCTGGTAGAAAGGAAAGCCAAATGTGCAGGGAGCCATTTTAGATAATGAAGGCTAAAATGTGAGTTTCTGAAAGATTGCTTGAAACCCCAAGAAAATTTTTTCATCTGAATTATTTTTGTTGATTGGAACATTGAAATTTTTTCCAGCTACTTCTCAGTCCTTAGCGTTGTGCTGTGTTCTGAAATTATGGCTTTAGGATCCTAAGCTTTTTCCAACATCCCTTGTACAAATACTTTTTTGTGTGCGTGTGAGGAAGATCAGCCCTGAGCTAACATCCATGCCAATCCTCCTCTTTTTGCTGAGGAAGACTAGCCCTGAGCTAACATCCATGCTGATCTTCCTAAACTTTATATGGGATGCTTCCACAGCATGGCCTGACAAGCGGTGCATCAGTGTGCGCCCTGGATCCGAACCCAGGCCGCCAGCAGTGGAGTGTGTGCACTTAACCACTACGCCATGGGGCCAGCCCCTGTACAAATACTTTTAAAGTAGGGGAAATAATAATTAAGACGTATACAACGCCTTTAAATTCACAAAGTACATTCACATATAGCTGGTAATTAATTGATAGAACAGTTCTGCAATTCATGACCTGTAATTCCACGTCTCTTGTTCCACCACACTGGGTTAGGAAGGTACATGAAACTATCAACCAGAGAGCAGATCTCAGTAAGTGTACAGATAGGAAACTTGAGGCCTTTTTCAACATTATATGTTTTAAATTTATTTTTTAATCCTTTAAAATGGAAGCATTTAAATAATCTTGTGTTTATTTTATGAAGAATAAAATAGCACCCTCCTTTAAAATATTGTTTTCATATGTGGAAAATTTCTACACATTATACCATATGTTCTGTGATAACGATACCTTATTTAGGCTACCAAATCTTTTAATGGTAAATCTTGGTAATTCATTTTATTATTATTATTAAAATGACTGAAAACTGGGCATGATATGTTCATCTATCTTTGAAACCAGGAAAAAAAACTTAATTTGCACTGATAAGTTTGGAGGAAATATATGTTAAGAAATGAAGAAAAAGAAGAAAGCTTTTATTTTTGAGTGGTAATATTGCCTAAAGTAGAAAGAAATTACCTAAGAAGATTTCTACTATTTAAATAAATATTACATCTGGGCTAATAGAATTGAACATATTTCTTTTGCTTCAAGACCGGGTTACATCCTAGTCCATAATAGTCCAAATAAGTGTCTCATTTTATAAGAATTCTTCTTCTTTTGAGAGTTGAGAAAAGTTGTTTTTTAAGATATGCTTTATATGAGATGAAGATAGTTTTTGAATTTGATTGCCACAGGAAGTAGTAAATCAGAACACGGATCAGAGTACTTAAATTCAGCTGTTGAAAGTAAAACTGAACTGGAATAATTCACCTCTCTTTTTTGGTGTCTGGAGGTTTGCTGTTGGATTTTAGGGTGATCATGGCACTGAGATGACTCATCTTACAATCTCTGTGCTAGATGAGACAGCACAGTGATTTTGATAACTGTCACCCTTGGCTTGAAAATCAAGCTCTAATTTTAATTTTTTTCAAAAGGCAAATTTCTTAAGGATTGTATTTGTTCAGGAAGGAAAAGCAAATTTGGCACTTTAAATGTAAATTATTTTCAGTGATCAGAAAATGTGAAAGTAAGTTTTATCGTAAATGGAGATTGCACATTTTTCTTTGTATGAAAAATTAGTTCTCATTCCTTCAGGAAATAGAAACATTTTGCCTACATTTCCATTCAAGCTTACCTCTTTAATTCAGAGTAACCTAATATTGGCTTCCTGAAAAAATGTGGTTACCTTATTTTGAACAAGCATCATGTTATCAGTGGCTTTCAATTAGAAAAGAAAGATCTCTTAATTTTGGGGAAAGCATCTTGGTAGCCGGCTGGCGGAACCTAATTTGTGAGGCAATTATAGCCTTGATAAGGGTCTACAGACATTTCTTTGAGCCACTTAAGCTAAATATAAATATTGAAAACCTTATTCTAATAGAAAATTGGTTGAAATATTTTAAACTGCATGAAAAACAAATGTTTTGCTTATATTTTTGCTATATTTTTACATATAAGTCAAGAATTGCAAATATGTAATGATAACAAATATTTTTCAATTTACACCTCATTTGGTTTTCCTCATTTAAAAAGCACTATATTTTATAGGTACCTAAGAAATTATGAATTCTCATCAATAATCATGATTTATCAGGAATATGCATAAACTATTTTATAAGAATTGTTAACTGAACAAGTTTATCTCCTATCTCAACCCAGAGTAGGCATTGAATTCCAGCTGTGTGATCTTGGAGAAGTTATTTGTCCTCTCTGAGCCTCATTTTCCACATTTATAAAACAGGGATAATAAAACCCGCCTCATAGAGTTGTGGGGAGCAAGCATTTATTGTAGGAGAAACACTTATCATGGATCCTAGTAAATCCTATGCGCTCAATTAAATGGAACTTCAAGTGACCAAAACGAGTGGTCACTGTTCGTCCATCTTACTTGCTGTCTCAGCAGCATTGGACACAGTTGATTATTCTCTCCTATTTGAAACGTTTTCTTCATCTCTCGGCTTCTGTGCCACAGCAGCTCTCCCGCCTCACTGGCCAGAAAATTTCTCTTAGTCTTCTGCCTCTGGCCTCTAGAATTAGGGGAGTGCTCCAGAGCTTGGTTTAGGGCTCTCTTTTCTTTCTACAGCTCTCCCCCAAAAGGACCACTTCCAGTCTCAAGTCTTGACGTGATAGTATGGCTTTAAATCCATCACCCTCTGCTTCATACCTCTAGCCTCTGAGTTCCAAACTTAGTATCCAACTGCCTACTTGACATCCCTACCTCAATATTGAATAGGCACCTCACATTTAACATTTCTAGATCAGAGCTCTTGGTTCCTTAGTCTTAACCTTCTCTTCCCCCCGTCTTTCTCACTATTTTAAATGGCACCACCACCCCCCAGCTATTCAAGTTCAAAACCTAAGAGTCATCTTTTATTCTTCTCTTTCGTCACCTTCACATCCTAGACATTAGCAAGTCTTGGGAACCCTATCTTCACAGTGTATCTTGAATCCACCCACTTCGCTCTACAGATGTCCAGCCTTCATGATCCTTTACCTGGACTGTTGTAGTAGTTTCCCAACAGGTCTCTCTGCTTCCATTCACTCACCCCATAGCAGGCAGAGTAGTCTTTCTAATAAGAAAATCAGAGACTTGGAAATTACAAATGTGAACTAAATGAAAAACTTAACACATTTTATTAATTAAAAATAACCTCGTTTTATTAATTTGTTTAACTTGCATGTCATATTTTCCATGGTCATTATACTATAGAAAGAAGTTTCCAAAAAGGACAAATTAATGTTCAGAAGCAAAATGAAATTCATCTTAGTAAGTGTGTAACCCCACTGCATTGGAATAGATATCAGCTAATATCTTTCCTTTCTTTTTGTGATGTGTGCTTCTTAATGTCCAGACTTTTTTAAAAGTGTACAATTCAGTGGCATTTAGTACGTTCACTATGTTGTGCAACCATTACCTCTAGCTAGTTTCAAAACATTTTCATCACCCCAAAGGGCCTTAATATTGAGAAATTGATGTTACTTTTAAAAATATCTTTGAAATTTTTCAGCTCGTGGAGTTTGCCAGGCAACTTAAAACGCTGAGCTATTTGCAGCAACTTCTTTATCCTAAGTTTCAAAACCCTGTTAAAGTGCCTGAGAATTTTCAGATCAATGTGATGTTTTACGACCCAGTTCCATGCGTAGATTGGAGTTTACTATAAAAGAGCACATGAAGACAGCGTGGGTCAGACCGTGATGCACAGTGGTGGCAAGAACATGAACGGTAACAGTGATGTCTGAGTCCATTCAGGCCACTGTGACAAAATGCCCCAGACTGGGTGGCTTATAAACAGCAGAAATTTATTTCTCACAGTTTTGGAGGTTGAGACATCCAAGAGCAAGGTTCCGGCATGGTGGTGTTCTGGTGAGGGCCCTCTTCCTCGTTCACAGCTGGCACCTTCTCGCTCTGTCCCCACATGGAGGAAGGGGCTAAGGAGCTCTCTGGGGTCTCTTTTACAAGAGCACTAATCCCATTCCTGAGGGCTCCACCTCATGACCAAATCATCTCCCAAGGCCCCACCTCCTAATACCGTCATTTTGGGGGTTAGGATTTCAACATATAAATTTTAGGAGGACTCAGACATTCACACTATGGTGAATGTTATATATAAATAGTTATAAATTAATGAATGCTACTAAAAACACAATACTAATTTATTGTATATTTATCATGTGTTATCAATGTGCTATGTATTATAAAAAATAAATATCAGGTATGTAAGCATAAAGACATATATTCTTTGTTGAAAAGACATAGTAACAGGAGTAGAGAGGATGAAATGAAGGGAGTCTGACAGATTTATAGTGTGAAAGTGGGCAAAGGAGAAAAAATATCATGGATTTCCAATGTAGAAATATTTTTAGTCTTTACGAAAGATGCATTATTTTAATAATTATAATGGAAGACAAATTTTAAAGACTTATGGTGCAAATCTGATTGGGTAGTTTTGAGTAGATTTTTCTTTCTCCTCAGGAGAAGGCATGAACTCCCCGTGGTCGACTTTAGTTCTCAAATGTCCTCCTGTCTAAAACTGTAGCCCTCCAGATGTTGTTATATGATTATTCTATTAATTTACTTTCCTTACTTTCTTAAATAATCTTAAATAACCATAAACAATCATAACTCGGCACACTTTGTTTTTACTTTTTGTCTCTTCTTTGTTCTGACTTTGAGTAGTCAAAAGCAAAAGGCATTCCTCTGAAAGAATATCCTAAAATGTATGACAAATGCGTCCATATCATGGACAGTATCTAAAGTGCCGCCTAAGGAATCTTCTTGATCTGTGTGTGGCCTGAGTTTAGAGTGAGGAGGGTGTCCAGTTGGGACTATGTTTCTTGGTCTAAGCCCTTCGTAAGCCAGGAAAGGTCTTTTTGGTGAAAACAAAAGGATTGCATTTGTAGATGTTAAGACTGAATGAACAGCTTCTCAGGGTAAAGCTCCTCCGGCGGGTTGCTACGGGCCCTCTCCATGCCCAGAACTGGAATATGTGTTGTAGGTAGTCAGAGAAATAAAGTAAGAACACCACCATACTCAGCATGGCACAGATGAAATTCTGTATTTTTAATCTCCATTTCCACTACTGCTGAGAGATTTCTGCACTTCCTGAATTTTGAAGTTTACCATTAAGTTATGACTTGGCAGTGACTGGTTTATCTTTCTCCCCCAGTATAAGAAGTATCGCTCTTCTCATGCACACACCAATAACTTTGCAAAGTCTGTGGTCAACCTTGTGGATTCTGTAAGTATCCTGGTTTTCTTGAACCTATTTTTTCAAGATGGAAGGGTTTATATCTCTATTTGCTTATTTGTTACTTCAGTTCTTTCCTAGGTAAAAGTAAAAATGCCACCCATAAGCTCATCTGGCTAAGAAGTTCCAGAGTGGTCTCCTTCACAAGAAGTAGTGATATTAGAGTTTAGGGGACGTTGAGTTATGCTTGGAATCCCAAAGTTGCGTTAGCATTGCTTCGAGTGGTGTCTAGACCTCATTGTCACCAAGCTGATGAAAGACAAAAACACCGGAAAATTAGCTACCAAAAAGAGCATAAATTACACTTGGCAAATGAGACTTTGTTAATAATAACCAGTTGAGCTTATGGTAGAAGAGCTATATATCATTATTATATAATAGATAACAAAAGAGCTAATAATTGTCTTAAATATATGAACTAATAATTGTCTTAAATGTATAAACTAATATTGTCTTAAATATATGGCAGAAGAACTAGGAGATTGAGGTGGAGTATGTTTGGAGAATAGCAGAAATACAAAAAATTTTTTAAAAGAACCCGAATTTATTTTCTTAGTGTTCCCATTAATGGAATGCTTCAGACTTTCTTTCTAGATGACAGAATTAAGTGCAGTCTCCAAATAAAACTACTTTGAAACAGTAAAATATATATCTTCTTACAAAGACTTTAACCACAAATCTATCATGTTGATATTTTTTTCTTCTCATTTTATAAGTTACAGACAATGAAGGTTAAGATTTTCTTTCTTTTTCCTGCTTTAGGTAGGAATTCTATTGATGTGAATATTATTCATTATGTTCCAATAAATAGTTTAATTTGACTAGTCGTAACTTAAAAATAGCATACTTCTTTGTGTATTCTAATGTAAAGTGCTGTCTGGTTCAGCTAAATATATTTTCGTCTGATATTTACTGCATGTTCCCTCTTAATTGGGAAAAAAAGCTTTTTATAAATTGCCAAATATCTAAATGATACTTTCTCCAAAGAACTGCCTTCTCTTCTGCCTTTTAAACAGTCCCCAAACCTCCAATCATGTGAACCCTCATATCATACCTGGCCGACACAGCGGAGGAAAAGTATAGCATGAGAGGGTGGGCGTGGTGTATCATACAGAGTTAGGGTTGAAACTCCGAAAGCCAGTTTCTACCTGGCTTATTACTTTCTTTAATTTCAGCTCTTGTCAGTCTTCTCAGAGGAAAACTCTAAGTGAATATGGAAAAGAGAAGATTAAACACAACTTGTCCCCTGCCAGAGCTGTTTACTTGGTAGCGTCTCTATTAGTCATTTCACCATGATTTAATAGAATCACATCTTGCAAAGAGTAATTTTTATTTTGGGTTACCATACAAGGTTGTGAAGTTGACCAACTAATTTTTAAAAGATATTACATTTAACTTTGCTCCTTATTGTAAAATCATTAAAGCCTCAGGTTGATTTGGACATGATAATATTTCCTTTCTTCAGTGTGTTCAAAGATCATCCATTATTTTCTTAATTGGCTTGAAAATAGGACAAAATGACAACATTCGTTGAAGTTGCTTAATTGTGTGAGTTATTTAGCTACTGGGCCAGAAGTAGAGAAAGAGAGCAGAGAGACGCAGTTTCACTACTGTGGGTGACACCGCCCTGTGGGGAGGATGAAGTGGGTGGAACACGTCTGCTCCTCCCTCATTGCCTCAGATCCCTGCTTCTCTCCCAGAGTTATTTTACTTGTCATGTAACAAGGCCTTCAAGGGCAAGCCAGCCATGCTGTTGGTGCTTGTCCGAGGACTTAGTGACCGTTCCAGTCCTGCAGGACTAATTGGTCGTACTGCACTCACACAGAGCCGTGTGCCAGGCTCCAACCCATTCCCTCCCGTGAGGTTTGGAAGGGTGATTTTACTGAACCCTGTTTTGAATTTATCTCCAGACGCTAGAATCTTGACATCCCTTCTGTCTATGCCCTTAGTGAGATAGATGCCAGGCCACAAAATGTGCTGATTTGCAATTGAAATAACCTTGTAGGAGAGGCCGAATTGTGGGATTGTTTTTTTCTTTCTTTTTGATCTTGGAAAAGAGAAAGGAAGGAAGAATCTCTACGATGAGCTAATTGTGACCTCACGTTCTCCTCCCTCCTCCCCTCCTGTCCTTCCACTGACTCTGAATCACTGATTCTGCGTGTCTGACCCAGTGTTTTCCTCCTGCGCTTGTCCTGTTGTATACCCTCAGATTTACAAGGAGCAGCTCAACACCAGGGTTGTCCTGGTGGCTGTAGACACCTGGACTGAGAGGGATTATATTGACATCACCACCAACCCCGTGCAGATGCTCCATGAATTCTCCAAATACCGACAGCGTATCAAACAGCATGCTGATGCTGTGCACCTCATCTCGTATGTACCTGTAGTCTTTGCTTTGACATTTATCTCTATCCCTTTATTGTATCCGTTAAGTTATATATCAATATATTGATCTTGAACAAGATTGATGTTGATTCCTCTCTCCGTTGTATAAGAAGCTTGAAGGCAGGCTGTCCAGTGTTGGGATGGTGGTTCCACAGTCATAAGAGTTACCTTCAGAGCACATTGCTACTTTCAGACCTTCCATCCTCAAGGTCAACTCATGATTCAAGATGGTTGCTGGTGCTCCAGCCTTCACAGCAGGCAGCAGGAATCACAGGCAGGGAGGAGTGCAAAAGGTCACTCCTACCAGCTGAGTTAGCTCCTACAGAGCAGATTTCCTGAAAGCTGCACATATCCATTTCACCAAAAGATCATTTGCTAGATCTTAGTCACATGACTACACTTACCTGCAAGTGAGGCTAGGAAATATAGTCTTTTGAGGTGAACCATTGAATAAAATTGAGATTTTATCACTAAGGAAAAGTGTACCATACTTTCTTAAGATACAATAAGCTCTTCTCTTCCCCACTCACGGCAAAGCTGTTTTCAGACAGTCCTCAAGGTTTTCTCCCGGAATCAAACCAACGACGTCCTCCTTCCTTTCCTCTCACCTTTACTCTTTATTTTCTGTTCTCTCAGCCTTTAATCAGCAATTTATAGTAATCAGCAATATTTTGTATAACTGCTAGATATTCCCTACAGAAAAAAGTCAAGGTGATGGTCTGTTTCTCTCTGTGCCTCAATTCCTGTGCCTGTGCTTAGTAGGTGCTCAACTAATGTTTGCTCAACTGGGATTATTTAATATGACGTAAATTTAAAGGTATTTAAAATACGGTTTTTGATTTCTCGAAGGAGGATGCACTTGGGCTACTCAGTACAGGAGAGTGAGTGGACATGTTTGGGGAGAGTTTATGTCACGGTCACTACATTGATTTCCTAATAGCACTTCTTCTTTTCTTCAGACGTGTGACGTTCCACTATAAGAGAAGCAGTCTGAGTTTCTTTGGAGGTGTCTGTTCTCGTACAAGGGGAGTTGGTGTGAATGAGGTAAATTTTATCAGTTTTCTTAAAGTAGACTTTGTCTTTGCATCTGATCTTTTTCTTCCCTGAGGCCTAGTTTACGTCTTGTTTAGAATGACAGTGACATTAGGCTTGTTTAGAATGACAGTGACATCGAGAATACAGTATGAGTGGTTTACGTCAGTAACTAGAACCTGAAGTGGTCTTTGGTATTAGGAAAGAGGTATTGCTTCATTTTATAAGGATAGTTTTTCCTATTTGTCAGGCAAATGCAAGCCAAAGGTTGGCCCAGAGATTTTTTGGCCTCTGTAGATAAGTTCTTATAAGCTTATTAATCCTTCTCTCATAACTTGTTTTTAAAGCTAAATGCTCATTCTGCCCATGTTATGTTTAACTCGTTTAAATTAAAGAGTTTATAATTGTATCTAATATCTTTGTTTTCTCCCTATGTAAATTTTTCATCTTTTTGCCTTCTACCTACCTATCTATAGAATTAACTGAAACAAATATTTCCTTAATCTGATTGTTTGGATTTCAATGCCTTCATTTATATAAAGGAAATTCTTATAAAAGTTGGCAACAGCACCCAAAAGCCAAGGCCAGTGTATCTAAACCCTGATCAATGCCAGAGTGTGTTATACCAGGTTATCCCAGTAGCCATCGTCGAGTGGAGACCTCTCTTGGCATACTTGTAGGTAGTTGAATTGGGGCACAGCCTTTTATGACTTGTATTTTATGTTTCAATGTGAGAGATGCCACGTAGTAAGAGAGGCTTTCTGCTTCCTGGGCCCAGTTGTGAGTAAGAAGTGATAAGGAACATATATGCCATCTTTTGATGCTGTGAGGCTCTACTTAGGAACTGAGATGATATGTGGTAATGATTAAGAAATAATAACTAGCTTTGTGCACTCTCTCGAATGTTTCCCACACACTTTCAACTCTGAAAAACAGTATGGTCTTCCAATGGCAGTGGCACAAGTGTTATCGCAGAGCCTGGCTCAAAACCTTGGAATCCAATGGGAACCTTCTAGCAGAAAGCCAAGTATGTACATTGACCTTCTTACTTTCCTGTGCCATTCTGTCTGTATAGTGCATGCCCAGTCAATAAATAAATATTTTTCATTCCTAAGTCATTATAGTTTAATAGCAGTATATCTCCTTCCTCTAAAAAAAATTATAAAATGAGCAACTTAAGGTAATTCTTAATCTATTTGGGTTGTAGAAAAGTCCCTTTCAAAATCCATAAAATCATGCTCACTGTCTCAGAGGGTGAGCAGCTCTTTCTCACTCTTCAGACTGTTGGGGTTGGGTGGCGAGGACTCACCCTCTGGGCTCTCACCACTGGAGAGTGGACACAGGGTGCCAGATGAGGCTCCACTGCAAGTTTAATAATAGTGCAGTTGGATCGGGAGATAGCGTAGCTCTAGAGTCAAAAAGGAGCTCCAGCTCTAAACCTACCCACCTACCTGGAATTAAATGTACCCACGAGTCCCGTCAGAAGCGTTGGGGAAGAAGCATCCCTACAGGAGGGAGAGCGAACAGGGCCACAGATCCCATCCAGTAGGAGAACAGCCGGCGACTGCTGGGTGCCACTCTCCTCACTCATCAGAGGAGAGCTGGTTGGGAAGACAGGGCTGAGTTTCCAGTGGCAATGTGTCTAAGGCCCACAATAGTTTTGGGGGTCCATGAAAATTTTATATTTCTTTTAAAATCGGAATAAAACCCAGCCTGGATCATATTCCTCTTTATACCAACACAGTAGTAAAATATAATTTCTAATGCATTTTTGTGGCAGAAGGCAGAAGTGCCAAGGACCCACATGATGCGATCCTGAGGAAGGAAGGACCGAGGTGTTCACTCAAATTATTCTCTTGACTAGGAATTAAGTGGAAGTCTACTCCCCTCGGTGAAAATATCAGACACCAGGAGTGAAGGTCTTCCTGCCCACTCCAACCTCCCCAAAGAAGAAAAGGACAAAAATCTACCTTAACATTATTCCACATTTTATACTTTTTTGACTACTATCAAATAGTTGTCATTAATGCATAGTATTATGGAAACTTGAAACAAAATATATGTCCAGGGGTGTCTAGATTCCCTTTATGGGCATATTAAGTCATCACTTTATGGGTGTATTACGTCATCATTTTATGAATATATTAAGTCATCACTTTATAGGTATATTAATTCTGGTGGCATTTAGCAAATCTCCACAAACTTTCATTTATTAATACCTTGCTCAGAGTATTTGCTTTCCCAAGGAAACACCTGGTACACATTAAAGGAGGTGTTTCAGGTTCATTCGCTGGCATTGGATGCCGTAAGAAAGGAGTAGGGCCAAGTTTATGACCTTGTTTGAACACCCTGGAGCCGGGAAGAGGCCAGCGTTGGGGTCAGCTGAGAGATGTTACCGGGATGGATGGTGGGGTGGAAATAGGATTCATTACTAATGCCTGGTATAGTTCCTTCCTTCCTAAAATTCTTTATTCCTTTGTGAATTGTTTGCTTAGTAGATAATTCATTAGTTCTGAACTTTGAGTTTCTTAAATCCATTTGGAACTCTTTCTTTAAAAATGTCTTTATCTACGATAGAAAAGAGAATAGGAAAAAATAAATGAAAAGAGCAACTCGTCACAATATCAATATGCCAATCTATGGTATCTATGTTAAGTTTATGATTGTTATTTAATTTAAATGATTATTTACACTTCTATTTTAGATTGCTGTCTTTTACTGAACTTTTAGCACAGTGTTCCCTGGTCAATCCTCACCGTGCCTCTAGCAAACCGCCTTCTCTTCTCTGACCTCCAATGGGCTCTGTTAGCGGGACTTGGTGGTGACTCATTGTGTTTGTGCAATAGAGCATTACAGTTCACAGAGAGCACACAGGCGTGCCGTCTCGTGTGCACCCCAGAACCACTCAGGGAGATGCATTCCCCATTTTAGAGGTGAAAACAGAGACCCAGGAAATGCCAAGTCGCTTGCCTGTGGGGCTCTCTCAGGTAGAGCTTGGAGTAGCGCTCGGGCTTTCTGACTTCTGGACCAGCCTACTTTTCATTAAACGTGGGAACTAGGAGCTTAGTTGAGTTCTCTGAGTTAAAAAATGAAGAGAGGCACAATTTTATTTCTTGCCAGCTGTTGTCTTAGGAAGTGATCTATACGGCTGGAAAGGATAAAGAGATATTGATTGAAAAGCAATAGATTTTGTTCAGTGAGACTTCACGTTCTGTACCTATTTGACATGGAATTAGTAGTAGGCATTACTTCAGTGCACTGCAAATTAAAGATGTGACTTTTTGTTGTTCCCTTTTCTTCTGTTTCTCTGATGGTTTCCTTGGACTAGAATGTGACTGCACAGAATCCTGGGGTGGCTGCATCATGGAGGAAACAGGGTAAATTTTTACTATACATACATTTGATATGTGCCTTTGCTAAAATTACTACATATAATTAGGTACACAGTCACTTAGGTACTGGTCTTTTAGACTAAGCATTTAGTATAAATTCGATAATTAATTATTTGATGTTTTAAAAATAAAGGGCTAATTCACTTTATATTTTAATGTTTTATTTAAAATTGGTGGTAAAAGTAAAATGTAGTAACGACCTCTACTTCTATTAATCCTTAAAGGAAGCACATTATTAAATGCTTCTAAGTTTAGTAGAGGTATTAATTTTTTAGTACACTTAGAATAAAAGCTGGTCATCAGTGAAAATCAATTCAGTCATCAGTTTCTATTTTAAAGAACTTGTAAATAGACGTGTAATAAAAATTTTACTATGCTGCTTATATAATCAATAAAGCTTTTTTTATAAGGCAGATTTATTGTGTCTACATTAGGTAGTTTTCTATGATGGACCGTGGGCATTTGCTTGCCCAGCTCCTCTCTTCTTTTGCGGATACTTTGGGAACTAGAGCAGCTGCCCCAGAGCTGCTGTTGCGTCTTGAACCGAGGCCTGGAAACACTGCCCTCTGTCCCAGGGCCCCTGCCCCATGGCAGCCGCTGCCCCGGGCCCCTGAGCTGAGCCCACTCCTGGTAGATGGGAGAGGTTTCTCACCCACATGCTGCTCCTTCCTTGGCCCAGGCCAGACATCTGCTCACCATACGCCGTTTCTGGTCCTGCCCTGCCCCTCTGAGCCCCAGTTGCCAGAGGCCCTGACCTCCTTGTACAGAGCCCCTTCCTAATTCTTCCACCAGGAGGCCAGCTTGTGGGGATAAGAGCATGTGAGCTTGAGGGTTTGCAGTCAGCTGTTATGCCTGCTATGTTAGAAACACGTGTTTCTAAAAATGTAGTTTAATCGTGAAACTGTTGGCTATCATGGCCCCCTTACTATTGTCCCATAGTTTGGTAACATTATGGCTTAAACAGGCTTTTTTGAGGATGCCTGTAGGAAGGTGACACCATTACAGTGTTGGTTCTAGAGGGAGCTGTCTTCTGTCTTCTAAACTCCCAATTTCTAAATGAAGTTTTGGACTGACTACCCACAGGATATAATAAAACTGTTTAAAGTTAATACATATTTTCTCAAGTACACATTTCCACATAGTTATTGTGAGAGATCACTGTCACCACTGGCAGATTTTACCTACTTCCATATGCTGCGCTCATACATCAGGATACATAGAGCTAGATTACATCCCAGAATAAGTGGCCTGTCACTCTCAAATCAAGTCCTAGTACAAGTATGCCTAAGGAATCACTGTGTATGATTCAGTGTAGCCTTGACCGTGTGTATGATATTCCTATCTGTACTGACTTAGAGATAATAATTCTATTAATTAAATCACGCAGAGGCTCATGCTATATTCCTACTAAATCGTGAATATTATCATATAGTATTTGAAGTTGAGAATAAGGAGCTATTATTCACGGGAGCTTACCCTAATGCTGTTTTAATTGTGTGCATATATACAGTAAAAACATGTGTACATAGGTACATGTGTGTATGGTCTCACGTCTCCCTAGGTTTCCTCGTTTGCCTGTATTGTGGCTCTGAAGCCTGCATTCAGCATCTTTCATAAACTGATCCTCACAACTCCGTCCTCCAAAGTAGAATCTAGGAGCTTCCCGAGCTCCTTTCCTTCAGGACAGAGGCAAAGAGTGCTTGCTTTTGCTGAGACGGAGCAAATAAAAATGACCACATTTTGAAATACAGCCTAGATGGAGAAGTTTCGTGAGGAGCTTTTCAAAACTCTTTCACGCCCGAGCACGGGGGCCTCAACTGCTGAGGGAGTTGTGACCCAGCCCCCCAAATCTGTGGTTTCCTTTGAATTTCTATTTTTACAAACTCTAGCATGCATACTTATTTGGCAACTTGAACATAAGTGCCTTGTCAAAATTTGTGTAGAATCATCTGGACCCAGAGTGAACATTTTGTTCTAATTCAAGGGTTTTAATTTTTTTCTCTTATGGCTGCTTTTGCTAAATTATTTACATAACTGATTCTCTACTTTCTCAGGGTCTCTCACTCCCGAAAGTTCTCCAAATGCAGCGTCTTGGAGTATAGAGACTTTCTACAGAGGGGGGGCGGCGCCTGTCTGTTCAACAGGCCAACAAAGGTTAGTAACGTAGAAACTGTAATTGTTTCTCTAATTTTTTATGATGGAACAGTGCTAAATATCAGATACTTGTCTTGGAAAGCAGGTTTCTTGTCTATCAGATTAATCCTTAGTCACAAGGGGCTTTATCGTGTTGCAGACTGAGTCCTCTTTCAATGCATGAAGCCCTAGTGTCACTGCTCCCAATCTCTGGTTTTCAGTGCTAGCTGCTCTCCCCACCCCCCTCGTAAAAACAAATAAAGAAATAATCCTTCAATTAAAATATCTTCGAAATGTTCACGTTTGGGTTTTCACCCTGCTGCTAAGAGTTAGTGGGTTAGACTAACATATATTACTCTAACACATTTCTCTGACAAAAATTCTGTTTCCCCTTGACCTTCTCTCTAGGGGCTTTTCTTTTTTTTGAGTGATCTATTCTGCCAGACAGGAAGCGTTAGTAATATCAGCTAGCCAGAAAATGGCCCCAGGTATTTATGGATCCCATAAATACAGAGATATATTTATAATATACAGTCTCTACCTGGAAAGGTCCCCATTGTCAATTACATTTCATCAAAATCCATATAGACAGTGTCACAATCCTTTATCCACAATTCCTTAATTCAAAAAGCTCTGAAAATTGGAAGTGTTTTTTATGAGTTTGCAGAAAACACATTGGACAATAAAACTTGTGCTGAACTAAAAATCTTTATTATCCCCCATTGTGTAAATATTCATAAGTCTCACTGCAGAAATATTAATGGGTTTGATTAAAGGGTGTGCACCAGGCCCTCAGGGTTATTACGTAGAACAAGGTAAATGCATCGCACTTTTGTAAAATCCAGCAAAGCCAGAATTCCCAAACTCACCAGCTATAAAGCTTTTGGATGAGGGACTGTGGACCTGAAGTGGCGTGTTTGGAAATGAAGCTGCTCGACAAGCAAAAAGACAGGATCGATGCTAATTAGCACTCGGTAGAGAAATTCTAACATTGCACATTGCATATTTCCTTTTAAAATACTCCTTCATAGGTCAAATACAGTCCATTGCTGTACAAAATGTTTAATACTCTGCAAATTGAGAAAGCAGTGAGATCGTCAGCCTTTTTTTTTTTAAAGCCAGTGACTGATGTGGATAAGTGACAGAATAATTTATTCCTATCTCCGTAATTAAGTGATACTGCGGTAGTTAGGGGACGGTGGTTTGAAGCCTGCTGTCTGTATAAAATCTCAGTAAGGAAGAACAGGACTTTTAAAGGGACCTTGCATCATTCCGCTCAGCCGCCTGCCTCTCATGACGTTGGTCTCAGTGCAGCAGAGATCTGGAAGCTTCAGAGTGTTTAAATGGGTGGAATGAGTAATAATGAATTAAGGTGAGCTGCTGGCGTTTTTGAATTGCAATGTACATGGCCAATTTTACCTGCGTTGCAGCTCCCCAGGTGATTACAAGCATCTCACCTGAGGAAACAACGCTGAGTTGTTTGGAAAGCTTAAGATTTCTGGTGTGTGTATAAGGATCCATCATTAGATTTCTGAAATGCCTGTGAGGAAAAAGAAAATTATTCCAATAACTTGGAAACTAAATAAAAATAACTATACATCTTCGATTTTAAAAGTTAGTAAATAGGGAATTATTTCTTTTTAAACTAAATATTAGAATGATTAAGAAAAAGCCCCTGCAGATTCGAGTGGAATAGTTTATACGTGTGCATCAAAGAACTGACTTTTTCCCAAGTGTTCTTGGTCGATGAATGTATGCGTACATGTTGTACGTGCTATTTGCACATTATCCGTGAGCATCTTCTCTGTGCTGTGGGAACCTTCCCAACGGCCGTGTTTCACGTCTGGCCTGATGGACCTGCCTCACGGTGGAAGGAGAGTCCTAGGATGAAAGCCAGCAGTTGGTTACATAGTTGGCCTGACGTGGAGTGCTAGTCCTGCTCCAGTCTGCCCTTCCTTTTTCCATGTTCTTCTGCCTCTGATCCAAATACCTCAGAGGTTAGGACTGTTAACTTACCCACTGGGCTCCCCCACGGGGACTCCCCCTCACGTATCCTGGAAACCTTCCTTGCTTTCCGTAATAGCTTTCCCTTCCTGGAAGGGGAAGGAGCATCCAGTCTTTCTCAGGTGGCCTCAGTGAAGGCAGCCCTTCCTGGGGTTGTGCGCCTGCGGGTGTGTTTGTTTCTTTCTCCCTCTCATGTTCACGGCTCTGAGCATTTGGGTTGGGATGTGCTGTTCCAGCCTTCACCCAGGTGAGAAACTTGCCCCAGTTGATGAGAAATAGAAATGTTTTTCATGAATAATCAACGCCTCGACAATCGGTCTATAATACAGTTTACCTGGCAGGCAAGTTCATAGTACCAGTGTGGTGGATTATTCTAGAAATCTGACTCTTCCATTGCTGCAGGAATGATTGAGAAATTTCTATACCTCTGTGTATACGTCTGCACATTTACTTAATATGCTTCGGACAGTGCAGATTTGTCTTCAATGAGAATGATGGGCGTGGATTTCCAGCAACATTTTTTTCTAAGTTTATTTGCACTTACTTGATTATATATTTCACATTTGCATTTACTTGATTATATATTTCACATTTGGCTGTGACTGAAGCTTTTTTATCTTTTTGACAGTTTTCGTCTTCTCAGCAAATTAGTTATCTGTGAGTCTCATTAGCAATGCATTTTAGCTCCATTAGCAAATTGAAGAGTGATCTGTTCCTCTTCACAGCTTCTCTCCATGCAAAGCAGCTCTAATGGTGGAGGTCATGCCTGGAGCCCACCACCGGGGAGTCCTCCACGGGATATTCCCCCATTTAAAATAGGTTTTCTAGAAGTGTTATTAGTAAGTGAACAGTGTTTCCCACCCACACATCACTTGTAAGTTGCAATAACCACAGATGCAGGAAGAAGATCACGTGATAGCTGATTATAGGGCTGTGTCTGTGGCCAATGGTGTGTTGATTTTCTGTGATAACTTGAAACATGTTCCCTTTCTCTCCTAATCTCTTCCAGCTCTTCGAGCCCACAGAATGTGGGAATGGATATGTGGAAACTGGGGAGGAGTGTGACTGTGGCTTCCACGTGGTGGGTATGAGGGAGCGCGTCCACCTTCGGCACAGCTCCCACCCGAGCAAGCAGGAGCAGCAGGAGTGGGAAGCCTGCGCCGTCGTTCGCTGTGGCCCCGCTGCCTGTCCTTCTGATCTCTCTCATCAGAGCTTAATGTCAGCTCAGACACAGTAGAATTAATCATGTCCTATGGCCTTGTCTGAAAAAGCCTGATGGATTCTTGTAATCAAATTCCCTGCCTCTTAAAAGTTCACAGCTCATATTCATCGCAGACAAGTTTTACCAAATCATGACACATTCTTTCTTGATGTGTATTATTTTTGTCTTTATAAAACTAGATTGAGTATTAAGAATGTGGTAGAGCTCACCAAGGGTGGGGTGCCTGCTAAGAAATAAGCGTGCTTTTTGGTAGAGAAGCCCTTTCATAGAAGAGAATACTTTGCTGAGAAATATGGCAGGAAGGGATCTATCATTGTTTAGAGCGGTTAATTCTTTCCTAAAATTTTTGCTTAGTGTTGTATAAATCTCTTTCTCTGCATTATGCATAAGTCGCACGTGTAGTGAATGTGGCATGACCAGTGGTGAGTCTCCTCTGTTACTCACGTGAAGTGTCCCCTCCAGGAATGCTACGGGCTGTGCTGCAAGAAGTGCTCTCTCTCCAATGGGGCCCACTGCAGCGACGGGCCCTGCTGTAACAATACCTCGTGTCTTGTGAGTTCTCTGACACTTTCATCTTTCTTTTCATTGACACGTTAGCCAAATACTCAGTGTGTACATTGAGCATCTGTATAGCTTCTCACAAATTTGTTGGTTGACAGTGTGCGTATTAGCCTGGCAATTTTGTAGAATCAATAAATCTACCCAGTTTCTGTGGGTCACAACATTTGTCTTTACTGTGCTTGACTATCAACCATCCTATCCTCCAGTGCCTCCCTAAGCAAATATACCTATGTTCCTTCCAAAAGAAACACTGAGAATTGCCCTGCTAACACGAATGAAAACTAGATTAGACAGTTGAAAAGAAGAGGGACAATTCCTGTGGTCTTTTTGATAATATCACCTACTTATAACATTTTTCTTTAAAACTGACCTTAATTTATTTTAGACCCTGAACGTGAAAGCTAGCACTTATATTTTCACATTTGGCTTTTTAAATCCCTTATACAGGCAAGAACGCCAGATGAGGAAGTAATGTATGCATGTATGTTTATATGTGTATATACACAGATTGTGTGTGTGGACACATAGTTACTTCCATCTGTAGAGACCTCCAGTTAATTTTTGAAAAGTCATTTTTTTTTTTTTTGATAAGGAAGATTGGCCCTGAGCTAACATCTGTTACCATTCTTCCTCTTTTTGCTTGAGGAAGATTGTCGCTGAGCTAACACCTTTGCCAATCTTCCTCTATTTTGTATGTGGGACGCTGCCACAGCATGGCTTGATGAATGGTACGTAGGTCCGTACCCAGGATCCAAACCTGCGAACCCCGGGCCACCAAAGCGGAGCATGCAAACTTTACCACTACGCCACCGGGCTGGCCCTGAAAAGTCATTTTTTTAATCTTCCTTCTTCTCATCTATAAAACCTCTAATATTCCTTATAACCATAAAATTATGTGATTTTATTGTTTTATTCAATACAAAGGGGTATTATGCATTATGGTATTGTAGAAGATTCTAGCTTAGTTTATACTTGCCTTTTGTCCCTTAACAGATTATAAATTTCTTGAAGGTAACAGGCTCTTTCCTCTGTCTTTTACCCACCCCCTTCCCAGACAAACAAAATGCCGCGTACACAGTAGGCACTTATATGAATTTGTTGAAATTTGATTTGTATATTTAGCCCAAACAAGATTGATGTCCAAGCTGACAGGTAAATTAGTGAGGGTTGGGTGTGTGCATCAGTCTTCAGAGAGATCTTAAGTGTTTTTATTTTAGTGCTTTGCTCTTTTGTCTTAAGCCACACCAGTGTTTCTTCTTTACAGAATTGCCATCACGTTGTTTTCCAAAAATAATACCCTGAGACAGTGGGTTTTGAAATCTGAACGTTTAATGCCTTGTTAACAGTTCATATTTACTGCAAAGAGTGTCTGGGCCTCGTGTCCATTCTGCAGCTATCTTGCTAATTCGTAAGAAGAGTTTGGTGGTGGTTATGAGAGAGCATCAGGATTGTTGGTGAATATGAGAATGCTAACTCTCTGTGATGTTAATTAAGACTAGCTCCATATTGAATTTTGATTGGCAGTTTCAGCCACGAGGGTATGAATGTCGGGATGCCGTGAACGGGTGTGATATCACCGAGTACTGTACTGGAGACTCTGGCCAGGTATGGCAATCTGAGTTTTAGGTAATGCATTTTACTTGCAAATACACATTTTAAGCATTCAATTTGGATTACATATGTGAATATGATTTTGTTCCTTTGTTTTTGTTTTATTTTACTTTGTTTTCTAGTAATTTCTAGCTCGCCACCATGCCTTTATTTTAGGAACATTTATTATGTTTTTTGGACCTAAGTCTCTTTTCTTCCAAATTTCCCCTTCATATTTAGTTTCCTTTTTATGGTTTACATCTTACTAATTGATTTTTCTTTCCTGGTCCCCACATCTAAAACAGTACATTCACACTAATGAAGCACTAATGTAGCGTTTTCAAACATTTTTAAGCCGTAGAACCTTTTCTTTTAACAATATTTTGGATGGAAGCCCAGTGTAGAAGGCAGGGAACAGGTAGACTGCTCTGTTGAAGCAGGATTGGGAGCAGAAGTCTGCTTTTCTCAGCTCTGTCACCATCTCGCTCCACTCCTGTGGCCCTGGCTTCATGGCCCTTGTGCTTTGGCATGATTCTTCACATTAAAATTATTGTAACATTTAATTTAATTATATTAAAATTATTATAACATTATAATTAATGTTGCCTTCTAGCATTCCTTCCTTATGTAATTTTTATGTTCTTAAAAACTTATATCATGTTATTTTAAGTCTTTATTTGTTGTTCAAATGAACGTTTGTTGGGCATCTACTGCTGTAAATGTTGGGATGGGGTGGGGAACAAGGCAGACAAGTCCTTGCTTTGATGGCACTTACGTTCTGCTGGGTGGAGAAAGGCAAATGAATGAACAGACCTCAGCTGGTGGTCAGTGCTGAGCATGAAATAAGGTGATGTGGAAAGAGGGATGGGGTGGGAGCTTTAGCAGGGGCGGTCAGGTGTGTTTTCCTGGAGGGGTTGGCATTTAAGTAGGAACACAAATAAGAAGGAGCTAGTCAGAAAACAGCGAGTACAGAAGTTGACTTCTTCAGGAAATGGGATGGAAGTGGGGCAGGTGGGAGAACAGTGGAAACCGTTCAGAGAGGAAGTCGGGAACCAGGGTGGGGAGGGACTCTGTAAGAATTTTGGATTTCTTTCTCTCTTATTTTCATTCTGACGTTACTTCAAAAGCATTTCGCATACTATTACAGTTTTTATAAACATGGTTTTCATGACTTCGTGAGTCTGTCACGTGGATTTATCAGTTCACTTCTATATCCAGTGGTGGATATTTAGATTGTTGGCAGTTTTCTGTTATTATAATTAATAAGGCAGTGAACATCTCTGTGCATTTTTAAGAGTGTTTCCTGTTCGGGGTTAGTTCCCAGGAGTGGAGAACCTATTTCAGGTATGGTGGTCTCCAAGGGGCTCTAGATATATAGAGTACAGTTGGAGGCCAAAATATCATTTTTATTATTGAAAATGGCAACTTGAAAGCCACAGCTTAGTGTGAGGGCTAAGTGGGCCTCGGTAGCGCCCCAGATTCTGGCTGTAGCAACAGGTTCTTGAGAGAGCTGGGTCTGGAGTGACCTTTCCCTGCAGAGGCCAGCCCTCGCCTGGACAGTAGATAGAGTATGATTTATGTGAGTCGACAAGAGAAGAATGGCAGAACTGAGCAAGAATGCCGAGTTACTCTTCCCAAGTTTATCAATCAAACAGTCAGTCAGCCGATCAGTCACTCTGCCTGCCTGGGGAAGAAGTGGGTACAGGGGCCGAGAGAGCTAGAGTTACACTGAGTGCCCTTCACTGGAAGGAAACATGAGGAGAGGGAAAGAAAGGTTCCTAGCTAAGTTTTTGGAAAGTTCTTGATATATATTATCTGAGGCTCCATTCAAATGGATCCTTTTAAGAACGTCGATGCAAATAATCAACAATCAATCTATAGGTAAGAAAGATAGAATGATATTTATTTAGCCAATGCTGAGGACCAGCCCGGAAGTGCTGTCTCCATCAAAGAAGCACTCTTGAGAAGCGTGGTGTACAGCATGGTTATACACTGTTTCAGGACAAAGAACGTACATCCAGCATGACAGGAATACAATTTTTTTCCCCAAAGTCACAAGGAGATGTTTTGCTGTAGTTTAGCACATACACAGCAGGTCAACTTGACCTTGGTTCTCTGGGAAGAAAAGCTTGTCTTCAGAGAAGTACTGGTGTCTGCATCAGAGAGAGGGAGACGTTCATCCTTGTCTTTAAAGAATGCGTTCTTTGCTTTGGGAAAATGTTTGAAGCAAATGTACAGTACATGTTCTCTGGGCCTTAAGTCAGGCTGCTCTGGGAAAAACAAGTTTTAGGCCAAATCAGGGTTAAACCAGAAAGGCTTCCCTATATACATCAATATTTGAAAACTTCTTCTTATTATTATTATTTTCATCAAGGATATGGTAGTGAAATACATTCAGGCTATTCTTTTGTGATTTTTATACATACCTGTTTCTCATATTTAAATATGTAAATGGTTTCTTTGCAGTTTTGCAGTCATCTAGAGGCAGAGTGTAGATTGTGGTTGCTGTGATTTATGACAAGTGTACTCACATCCCTGATATACTGTTTCACTGAGTTATATTTTTAGTTTTATAGAATAATACTATTTTTGTATCCATCATATGTGGTTTTGGTTCTGTATATTCAGCTCGTTGAGAAGTATAGTTTTCCCATTTCAACCTTTACCTGCTGAATTGCCATAGAATTTACTGGAAATAAAGCTTTTATAATGAGGGCTCTATGTTCAACCTAATATTCTATTGTCTAAATTAAAAAAAAAGTTCTTTTTATCTCGTGTCTAAGGTGAAAATTGTATTGGTAAAGTAATTTCTCAGTGGCATATTAGAATATCGTGTTCTTTTTGTAATAATTTCCTTGTATGACCAGAATGAACCTGAAATAGATCACTGGAGTATAGGGAATTAAAAACTCCTCAAGTCTTCTGCTCTGTAAGAGGCAGTGAATTTTGAATTTAATTGATACTAATAGCAATTAAGAAAGTGGGCTCTCTGAGAATCTCTGCGTCTCTAAGAATCCGTACCATTGGCAACATTATAACGTTATCTCTTTTATCTCATGGTATGTTTCTGCTTAATTTTCATATTAGCGTTTACTGATGCCTCTGAGCTACTTTTTAAATTCACAATTTATAACAGAAGAAACAATACTTGTGCAGCTGAGAGAAATCCTTGGCAAACAATACTGGATGATGTAATCAAGATATTTTTGAAAGATGTGGGAATGGTTTTCTGTTAGCACTATGAAATATGTCATCTAAGCGGGTAGGATAACACCATTTAAAGTAAGCACATTGGACTGCTTTTGCACGGTTGAAGCCTGCCTCGGTCAGGTGACCCTCTGTGCACCGCGTCTGTGGATGGGGCTGGAATGGCATTTAGAGACCGAACCCGGAGCTCTACTCACAGGCAGAATCAAGTGCACAGGTTTATGGTTCTTCTGCTTTAAGTGTCTCCAGAGAGTATAAGACATCTGATAACTTCCCTTGTTAAACATTTTAGTGATAAGCAACTGGCTTTTATTAGCCTAAACAAAAATAAATTGATTAGAAATCTTGCATGTAGCTATGACAGTTTATAATAAGGGCTTTTTTTTTCGTTAGTAAAGAATCCTACAAGTTTTTTCCTATTGAAACACCACAAAAGTCAAATATGACAAATTAATTTCAGACCCGGGACATGCCTGTTCTATAGCAACACTGCTTTTGCATTTTTGTTCCGTGTCGTTGTATTCGTCTTGGAGTAAGTGAATAGTTAATGTTAGTTGGTTAATGAGATAATGGTTGTGTTTCGAGTGGATTTGGGTGGGTGAAAGAGGCCACATGGATCTCTATTGTTGTGTAGTGGGCCCAGCATGCTGGGTCTTAGTGCTGATAATTCATCCTTTGAGTAGGCACCATCAGGTTGAGTGAAAAGCTGTGGTGGATGAGAGCTTATGAGAGTCAGTTATTGTTCAGAGAGATGTAGAACCAAGGTATCTCATCTCAGAGTGCTCCTTAGTAAGGTGCTGCTGCTTAGCAATTCTAAATTAGTTCTGTTATCTCTCTGTAGTGAACTAGATAAACAGCTTGATGTGTGCAGAATAGAATAACTTAATTGTACCTCTATGGATCGCTTGTTCATTTTCTCAGTCAGCCAGTAGGAATTAAGCACCTACTCAATAACTGAGCCCGGTTTTGTTCTAGGTGCTGGGGAGCAGCAGGGAACAAAACATGAAATCCTTGCCTGCGTGGAGCTCGCATTAGGGTGGGAACAATGGGCAAATGAGTAAAACCTGTGAACCCTCAGCTGGTGATAAGTGCCATGGAGATGAAAGAAACAGGGAAGGGGAGCAGAGTGTGCCAGCGTGGGAGGGATTGTGGTTTTCCAGAGTATGGTGAGAAAAGGCTTCTCTGAGGTGCTGATGTGTGAGCAAAGCCCTAAAGAAGCGGAGAGAGCAGGCCATGTGCGACCTGGGGGAGACCAGGGCCAGAGGCCGTGGGGTGGCACGTGCCTGGCACGTTTCCGTAGAGCCAGGTCAGTCGTGGCGGAGTAGGACTGCGGACAGGGAGACGATGGGCTGGTGGACGGCATAGGAGCAGAGCATGTTGAACTTTGAAGGCCAGTGAGTAAGGTGGGAAGCCACGGAGCAGACGAGTGACAAGATCTGGTCTGCGTCTTTAAAGGGACACTGGGGCACTGTGTGGACTAGAAGGAGACCAGGCTGGAGGCAGGGGAATCAGGCGGGGGCTGTCACATGATCCAGGTGAGTGCAGGTGGAGGGTTGGACCAGGCGTTGGCAGTGGAGGGGGAGAAGGTGTTCAGATCGTGGTCATATTTTGAAGATAGAGCTAACAGGCTGTGTTGACAGACTGGAAGGAGAGTGTGAGAGAAAGAGAGAAACAGGGCGACTCCATAGTCTGGGGCCTGAACAGGGTGAACTGTGATTTACTGGGAAGGTGAAGACTGAGGGACCTCGGTGCATATCGCTGTGTTTCTTACTCACTTGCCACACCTGTGTGTTTTGTTTCCTTTTCATGTTTGCTTTGAACCCTGTAGCAGAGCCTTGACTTGAAGTTTTTTTTAACTCTCTTAAATGTGGTCAATGAAATGCACAGAGAGAAGAAATTTTAACTTAATTTATTCAGGGTAATTTTGGGGGAAAATGAAGTGTACTGTACAAAGACCTGGAGAAAGAAATGACCGTCATACCACGATTGTTCTAGTGACGAGTCTGTGGTGTGAGTGGTCGGAAGTGTGGTGGAGATGCGGCACCTACCCTGAGCTGAGAGGCAGGCGTTTCTTCTTCTTCAGTAAGGTGGCCTATGGGTGAGCGTCATGGTGTCGACACAGATGTGACGTTTGCACAGAGCCAAGCGAGATCTTGTCGGTTAGCTCAGTGTGCCCACTCCTCCACAACACGCTGATTCACCCCCTCACTGTCCATTTTGTCCCTTCTACTTTTGACTCTGTCAGCACGTGAGTGTAAGTTACCACTCTAGTCCACCTCAGGGAAAACAGAGAAACACAAAAAGCATCCATTGCCAGGGCCTGACTTATTTATTTTTACCAATAATGGGAGAATTAATTTGGATAACCTCCTTAAGGAGTTACTCATGTCTTTCTAAACTTTCCTAATTATGGATTCACCATGCTTGCATTTTTATATGTTGTGCACATAATCTGAAAGTGCCTAAAGTGCTGCACACTAACTAAAAAGACTCTATTTTTCAGTGCCCACCAAATCTTCATAAGCAAGATGGATATGCATGCAACCAGAATCAGGTACGCTGGGCTGTACGTTTTCAATGTAATTTTAAAAGGATTAGTTTGCGAGTTTTTTCTTCTCTTTGATAAGTGTAATTTTGAAGGGAAATTGAACTCAAACAACAGTAAATTATTGCAGTCATCTTCTAATTTGGAGTTGCTTCATGTCACACTAAATACTAAATATATCTGGTGACAAATTGTCCAGATTGAGGGCAAGGAAAAAATGTAATGGCTGAAGGATTAGGAATCTGATTTATTGAGTTGTGACCATTTTTCAATAATTTCAGCCTGTCATGGGAAAATATGACGATTTGTTATAACATGGGGTGTATTTTTTTCTGAAGCCATGTTATATCTAACCATTCACACACAAAAGAAGCTAAAAATCATTTTGGTATCACCCAAAGAAATGTACCAGTTTTTGTTTTCAAAAATTTTAAATTTTAGATAGTTTGGCTTTAAAGAGCTGCTGTATAAGGTCTGTTCTGAGTTCTAGATTTTAGCTGTTATTCTTAAGATATTTGTGATTCTTATTTTCACTGTGCAAGAGTGTGGAGTGAAAAAAAAATTATGTAAAACAACGAAGAAGAGACCTTGAGTAAAAACTGGGGGGACATGGAAGTGGGTCCGTGTGCCTCATCCCGTGTGTCCCGTCCCCAGGGCCGCTGCTACAACGGCGAGTGCAAGACCCGGGACAACCAGTGCCAATACATCTGGGGAGCAAGTAGGTGCATCTTCCTGCTGGGCGGGCACATGCAGGTTTCTCTTAATCTTACTCTTCTTGGTCAGTCTTGTGAAAGAGATGTACAGCTCGGAGTGATGCTTAAAGAAAAAACTAGCAGAGGGTGAGAATAAAGAGACCTGTGGATCTTTGTCAGAAAACCACAGAAAACAACGGTGCAGGTTGGGGACTGGTCATCAGAACCGAACAGTGTCATTGAGGGACTGTGGCTGTAAGAGAAGGGTGTGACGTCCACGTGCAAAGATTGGGTTGGGTGCAGTGGTCATGGCCATTGTCCAGCCACTTGCCTGACTGACTTTGTGCGTTGGACTTACCATTTCTCCCTCAAGTCAGCTTTCTGCTCTTTTACCCCAAGGAGAGTACCAGACTTATTTTTAAATTCTGTCATTTATTATCTCATTTTGAAGAGAAGAAAGGCAAGGACTTCCTGAGGTGCAGACAGATGGAGGTTCTGGTACATGGTTGTGATTCTCCATTATTCCCTACACGTTAATACACATCTTCTCTTCCTGACATCCGCAGTGCCTCTCCAGTGAACTCCAGTTCATGAGGGCCAGACCAGAAGGAAAGAAGTGGGTCTGCCTTGCTGGCTGAGGCTGGGTCACTGCCAAAGGAAAAGGAAGCCCACAAAAGGAGAATAGAGCTCCTGCACGAGTGATTTCAGTGTTTGTCAAAAATTTAACTGAAAGATTGACTTTCATTGCTTCCATTTTGATAGAGGAAAGATGATAGAGGCATATTTGTCTTTTAAAAGGTGTAAATATCGAAACCCCAGTGCTGACATAGAATCTCAGTGGGCCGAGACTTTATAATATCTCCCAGTATTAATATAAAACAGGACTAAGAATGTGTGTTAGTTTTCCGTGTGTCTCTTCTCTAATTCCTGCTGATGGTCATTCCTACCTCCCACCCTCAAAACCACCAACAAGAACTGGGAATACATTTATTCCTCAAGTTAAAAACAGTGGTGTGTTGGAACTTCTTGTATTAACTTGCAAGAGCCAATTGTTAAATTTTCAGGGATTTTAGAAGCCAATTGGCATCACATTGATAGCCTGAAATTAGCCACGTATTACACCATGGAGATCTACATCATGGTGTTTACACCATGGAAATTGGTAAATGCTACAGATCAGCAATTTTTTCTCTTTTTCTGGAGAACCAGTTGTTAAACATTGATTCGCACACTATTCACTGGTTACAGATAACAAAGAGAACTAAAATAGATTTTCTTCTCTTGCTTATCTCCTAAAGAGGCATCGAGTTCTGACAAGTTCTGCTATGAAAAGCTGAATACTGAAGGCACGGAGAAGGGGAACTGCGGGAAGGATGGAGATCGATGGGTCCAGTGCAGCAAACAGTGAGTGGTCAGCTTCGGGGTCACGAGGAGAGGACTTGGAAGCCCTGATGCAACCGGAAATGAGCACAAAATAAATGTTACTCATTTTTTATAAATGTTCGACTATTTAAAATTTAAAATATTCATTCAAAAAATACATTAGTTTATCTAGAGACAAATCGCCATGGACTAAACTGTTTCTGTGGCACCGACTCACACTGTTTCTGTAAAATTCAGAAGATTTCTCACATGCTATATTTTACTTGATGCTTGTTTTAAATACTCTGCCAAGGTATTATAAATTAATATTAGGTTTTAATTTTCTACTTTTGCTAGAAGTTGTGGCCTATGAATGTACTAGGATACACAGAGATTTTCAAGCAAAATATATAGACTGTATGTATTTTGGGGACCGTTCAAAGTGAAATAATATATATTTTTTATCATTTCACGAGTGCAACAACATTTGATTTAGTTAAACATCTGATGTCTATATCAAAGATTTTTTTTTCCTTCTAAAAAGCATCTAGTTGGTGCGTATTGGAGACATCTTTACTCAGGAAATGAGATTTTTCAAAGCACCTTGATGATTATTTTTCCTTGATTGGTTGAGGAAAGTTAAAATTGTGACTTAATAGTTTATAAAGGTTAACTCAGTGGCTCGGATCTATGGGACCATTAAGTTACAGGACAAAGCTCCTCCATTTTCCTTCCATAGCAATGAGGATTCTTCTCTCAATTTTGAAGCAGAGCAAGGACTTAAGGGAAGTTTTATCTCTCTAGTTAGTCTTTACGAAAGTTCACAATTCCATGTAGTCTTTGACGGTGGATGAGGCCTCAGGAGGCAACAAATCTTTGACCATAATTTCTTTAAAATTAAACCAAAACAATAGAACAGAGCTCCCCATCTGATGTCTCAGGAGTGAGGTACAGATGTTCTGAGATGTTCCGTCCTTGGGGTGCCAAGGAGTAGGCGGACGTGAGGCCTGAAGTCATCAGAATCCACAGGTGGGCGCCTCTGGGTTTGATTAGCTTCCTTCATTAACTCAGTGTCCTAGACAAACCTGGTCATTTCTTGGTGTCTTTGTGACTGCAGAAAGTTTGGGAGGCTGTGGATCAGGGCGTTGTAAAGATAGCTGTTGAATATCTGGTAGCAGAATCTCCAACCACCAATGAGTTAAAGAAAATCAAGGTATGGTTTTTGAAACTTTTGAAACTTGTAAAATATAATATACAAACAGAAAAACGAATAATACACAAACATACATTTTGCCGAATAATTAGGAGGTGAACAACCATGTGACCCCTCCCTGGATGAAGAAGCAGAGCGTTGCAGTGTCCCAGGAAGCGTGTCCTTCCCGCACGGTGCTCCCCACTCTCTCCCGGAGCTCATGCCATCCCGACTTCTATGGCGGCCATTTCCTGCTTTTCTTTAGACTTTTACTGCCTAACGTTTCATCCCTAAACAATATATTTTGCCTAAAGTTTGGGTAATTTTCTATAAAAGGAATCCTACTTCATGTATTATTTTATATTTTGCTTCTTGAGTTCAGCGTTTATGGTGTGTGCAGTTGTCTGTTCATTTATAGTGTACATTTGGTTCATTTTAATTCATATTCATAGACCACAGTTTATTTCTCTATCCTATGTCAATGGACATTTAGATTGCTGCCATATTGGGCTATTAGGGACCATGCTGCTGTGAACGTTCATGTACCTATAACTCAGTGCACATTTGTACACTTTCTTCTAAGCCCTGTACCTGGGAGAAGAATTGCTAAGTCATAGGGGATGTATATTTTCAGTGCCACCAGATGATGTCACAATGTTTCCTAAAATGAGTGCACTAGTAAACCCTACCTTTGATGATATGTGTATGAGAATTTTGTTGTTCCACGTTCTCATCAACACTTGGTATTATCAGGCATTTTACTTCTGTGTATTCTGGCGGCCGTGAATTGCTATATTATTATGTTTTAATTTGCATTTCCTTGATTACAAATAGAATTTTGTACATTTTCATGCATTTGTTGGACACGGATTTCCTTTTTTGTGATGTGTCGCTTCAATTCTTTGCCTATTTCTTTAGGAATTCATTGTTTACTTAACGAATAGACTGGAGGTACGTGCCCTCATAGTGGGTGTGACATTTAACGGCGTCCTAGAGGGCCCAGATCGTTTCTGCCCCTCTGCTCTGTAGTGCTTAGCGTTTTGAGTATCCTTATGCTATGAACTTGCGATTGCAAAAACCCCACATTCAAAGGCAGGAAGTTGAGGAAGGAGCAAAAGGTCTTCCTGTTGGGCTCTAACCTTCTTTCCAGAAAGGCGATCCTCCCCAGCAACCCCCTCGCTGGCTTTTCCTCACATCTCAACACCCAGGGGCCTCTTTTAGCTCTAGGAGGGTGGAAAGGAGGGATGGCTAGGAAAGGGAGAGTAGGGCACGGGGGTGCCATGACCGGCTCAGACACCAGTCAGGATCCATCTCTCAGGGCCGGGCACATTGTGCCCCAAACAAAATTGTGATTCTGCTGGCGAGGAAAAAGGGGTCGGAGCCAACCAACAATATCTGAACAAATGTGTTTGTTTAGAAAGAAAGAGAATGTTTTCAGTTTTTGACTGTATATGGACTGAATAGTTTTGATTTTTTGAGTTTGATTCCTCCTGTTTTGTTCTTTTTTTTTGGCTTGTTCAGTGACGTGTTCTGTGGATTTTTGCTCTGTACCAATCTTACTCGAGCTCCACGTATCGGCCAACTTCAGGGTGAGATCATCCCAACGTCCTTCTACCACCAAGGCCGGGTGATTGACTGCAGGTAACGGAGTCAATGTTGGAAAACCTAATGAATTATGAGAATTACAAATTTAGACAAATCAAGGGAAATGTTTCTATTTCTCACAGACAAATATTGACTTAGATTTTATTTTTCCTTTCATGTTAAGAGTCATGTAAAAAACAAAATTGTATATTGATTTGCAAATTACATTTGCTCAAAAATTGTGCCAGTTATTAGTTGTGAGGCATTCCTTGTAATTATAATCTTAAGAGTAGAATGATGTTATCCATTTTGACCCATGATTAAAGTTTTGAGCATTGGAATATGTCGCTATTTGACCACTGTGTCTGTTTTACTTTTTATGACCAAAAATAAAACGTTTAAGCTATACATTATGTAGCATGTGTCTAGTTTAGAAGATGATTTAATAAACTCAATCACATATAGAAAATACTGATCAAAATATTATTTATTGTTGTAGGCAAACATTTGATATCCAATTATCTGTGAGTACAAGGCACAGAAGGTGTGAGGCTTATTTTTTAAGCCCTGGAGTCATAGTATATTCCAAATAAGTATTGTTCCCCTAAAGTACAGTCCTGTGCCCTCCACCTAATGACATTTCAGTCAACAGGGACCACATATAAGAGGGTGGTCCTGTAAGATTAGCACCATGTAGCCGAGGTGTGTAGTAGGCTGTACCATCTAGGTTTGTGTGAGTGCACTCTGTGATGTTCATGCAATGATGGAATCACCTAACGAAGCGTTTCTCAGAGTGTGTCCCATCGTTAAGCGACACGTGACTGTAGTCATGATTCTAAGATGCTATTCTCACATTCAAATGGTACTGTCATTGCTCAAAACGCTTTTGGGATTCCCCCTACAGAGTCACCTTCAAGGTATGCAAATCTTTGTCTTAGTATTCGTAGTATACCCAGAATAGCAAACCTTTATCTTATGTGAGTGAATGTAGGATTTGGAAATATCCAAAAGTAATTTTGAACAAAATTTAGTAAATTAATTGGATAACCAAATTGGGTAACACTGTCTTGGTGAAACGGTTGCTGACTTTCTGTCTTTTAAATGGCTCTGAAGGTGATTCTAACAGGGTCTTAGGTAATAGGATCCTTCCTGGAGTAACTTGGTCGTCTTCAAGTCTAGTTACTTTAATGCACACAAGCTTCCTTTGAACGTGTAAGTTTTCACATGTTTTTAGATACAACATCCTTGTTAAATTATATTGTTATATTCTAAACTAGTATATTTGTAAAATATTTAGCAAGATACTCTATTAGTATTTATAGCATGGACTATTATTCAAATTCGTGTGGTCTCTAACTTTGAAATTTTAGAAGTAAATATCAATAGAGAGGAACCAGATTATTATTATTTTTGTGTGTGTTTGAGGAAGATCTGCCCTGAACTAACATCTGCCAATCCTCCTCTTTTTTTGCTGAGGAAGACTGGCCCTGGGCTAACATCCATGCCCATCTTCCTCAAGTTTATATGGGACGCCCCCACAGCATGGCTTGCCAAGCAGTGCGTCGGTGCGCGCCTGGGATCCAAATTGGCGAACCCCGGGCCGCCGCAGCAGAGCATGCGCACCTAACCGCCTGAGCCACCGGGCCGGCCCCACCAGATTATTTTTTTTAATCATGAATAATCCAATCCTCTACAGTAATAATAACAATAAAATTATTATTTTTTTTGCTGTTTTTGCTCAACATCGCCTTTTTGTCCCATGACCCATCTGGAAGCCTTGGAGAGCTAATGATACGATTGCTTCCCTTGTTCTTATACAAACACCTCTCCCCTAGTCTTTACATTGGTCTTGAAAACAAATGAAGATTTAGAACACAATTTGTGCAAATGACATTTTTTTCTGATGATGGGCAGTGTAATAATGATAATAAATGGTAGTTTCTTTTATCATGCTCTTTTATTAGGGGGAGGTAGGGGAGGGGGAAGAGAAAAGTGGAGAAACACTAGGAGGAATCCATGTCCACTAACAGCCTCCTGTGTTTCTTGAAGAGCAAGCCTCGTTCATGTTGACATTATATTTCTAAGTGTGGTGCTAATGACTGTGTGGATATCTTTCTCCTTTTAGCGGTGCTCATGTGGTTTTAGATGATGATACAGATGTGGGCTATGTAGAAGATGGAACGCCGTGTGGCCCATCTATGATGTGTTTAGATCGGAAGTGCCTACAGATTCAGGCCCTAAATATGAGCAGCTGCCCGCTCGATTCCAAGGGTAAAGTCTGTTCAGGCCACGGGGTAAGTAGGCATCAGTGTTCCAGTTCAAACCTTCGTTGTCTGACATCCTCAAAGTTCACAGTGGTTAGGCTTCCAGCTCACCATTCTCCTGTGGCTGTTGCCAATGTCTAGGCACTGGCTGATTATTTTCTTACTGCCTTTATCTGCTAAAAATAATATCCGTATGTGTTAATATAGTTTTATTTTCGTTGTTTCTTTTATCACTGGCTATTTGTACTCACCACATTCTCTAGATATAACTTGGCATCTAAGTAGTTGGAAGAAAATTGATATTGTTTCTAAAGGAGCTGTAGACCTCAGTGACTACTTTGTACCATTCAAAATCACTTAACATCCACTCAGTAATTCCCTTTCAGCTACTCAGCATGCATGCTGAGTATCTATGTGTGCAAGATCATACTAGACTAGAGGTTGGATCGCAGATAGAATTCACATGTTTAGAGTTGTCCACATGTTCTCATGCTTGGACCATTGCCGGCCAAAGAGAAAATGCTCTTTCTACTCACACCTGCGTGTCTCTTTAATTCTCTGAACATAGTGTTTGGGCAAACACTTCCTGGCAAACCTAGGCAAACCTGGCAAACCTTAATATTTAAAAACAAATTTTAATAATTATTTAAATTGGGCTTAGTAAAAGAAAGATGTTTCAAAATTTATACAGACTTTAAAAATGGAAAAAAAGAGACAGAAAGAAACTGAGAGTGATAATATAAAAGGACGATGCTGGAATGAAGGTAAAAATAATCCAAAATGTAGATATCTAGGCAGTGATATGGAATAGAACAGGGTAGGAATGCCTAAGAAGCCCACCCCCAACGACTATTGATAGTTTCGGGTTTGGTCGGAACCATGGGCTCACAGGGGAGGTGCATAGCCTGGTGATCAAGAGCACGGATTTGGGGCTAGAGGGAATCCTGGGTTTGAGTCCTGACTCTGCTTCTTGCTGTCCGTGTGACTTCAGGCCAGTCGCTTAACCTCTGTCAGCCATCAGGGTGCCAGCATCAGGCTTAAACGAGATGCTGTACAGGAAGCACTTAGCATAGGTACCAGCACAGAGTGAGTGCTCAATGCTAAGTGGAAGCACCGGGTGGACCTCTCAGTTATTTCACTTATTGCTCTGAAAGCATGATGAAACTTAACACATAAAAGAATCCTTAATTCTCTACTGCTCCTCTCTACTACTCATTTTTTCATCTTGTTAAAAAAAGGTCAAATTCAGCCTTGTTAATCATAATCATGGTATTACAATATTTAGATTAAAAAGCATCTCATATCAGTAAGCTTAAATTTGGTTTTATCATCTCTGATGATCTGTCTCGGAATGTCTTTCTCAGGCAGATAAGGCTGTAAACACCTGTCTCTAGTTTGCAGATGGGTATTTATTTCATCTAAATTACAAGTCCATTCCAGCACGCTGCTCAATTCCCGGAGGAAGTGAGGAGACAAAGGTCACTGGGGAGGGTCCTCGGCCTGGCTGGCCCAGAGAAGAGTGATAACGCAGGCAGGCAGGGAGGTGGGCGGGGGCTCGTTCGGCTGGGCAGTGCCCCCAGTGAGCCTGCTGGTGGACGTGGTAGCCAGTGCAGTGCGCGTCCCGGTCTTGCTCTCTGGCCATGCCTCTGGAGCCCCGGACGATTAATTTCTTGCGTTAGGCATATATGTTTCTAAAGTATGTTCCTAAAAACAACTACTTCTGAAAAAACTACGTTGTCTGATAGTGCTTAAATCATGTCGACACGATTAATATTTAATTTAATATTTTCTTCCTTTTAATCTTTATTTTTCTATAATTAACTGAAGAAAACACCATCCAACAACTCGATCTATCCATTATTTCCCCTGTTTTGTACTCAAAACTGTGAGAGAGTTTTAAAAATTCCAAATGGTCTTTAAAGCCTCTGCCATACCTCGGGTGTCCTTTCCGTTTATCACCATTGTTCTACAAAGCACCGTGAAAATATCCTGTCCTGTTCTCTGCTCCTCACAGGTGTGCAGTAATGAAGCCACCTGCATCTGTGACTTCACCTGGGCGGGGACAGACTGCAGCATCCGGGATCCAGTCAGGAACCTTCACCCTCCCAAGGATGAAGGACCCAAGGGTTTGTGTGATTTCGCTGTCAATCCGTTGCATACTGAATTCATTGGCGTTCTTCCAGTGGTGCCAATACAACAACTTAATCGGTTTGAAAGGAGACACACAAGAATATCTCTTTGTGCCACTAAAATGTCAAATTCATGGTACCGCAGAATTAAGGACTCTAAAATATCATATTGAAAAAGATTTTTGAATTTCCCCTTAGTGTAGAATTGAGATTAGGAAGAAGTAAGTATACCGATTTCCTTTCTTTCCTTTAAACCTCATTCTTTTTCCATAATCACAAATGTTAATCATTTCATAGTTTGTCTAAGCTCTGCCAGTTTTCTAAGAGATAAAATCCACGTGGCTGACATGACACTCTGGTCGTTCCTCAACACTGGGATCCCCCCAGAGGGAAGTTGTAGTCTTTGTGCTCTGACAAATCACACCTCTGATTAGGAATTCTTCAAAGAGCTGTAATTCTTCAAAGAAAATGTGAAGGATCTGGACCTTTGTTTTAATCAGCCATTGAAAGGAGAGAAATCAGAATTTTAGAGTTAAAAGGAGCCTCAGTGGCCATCTGGAACCCCCCAAGGTGCAGGTGAGCACGTGCAGACCCTGAGGTCAGATGACATGCTGTAGTGACCTGGGTGACCAGGACCCAGGGGCCTGATCTCAGGCCCCTTCTCTTCTGTTATGTCGTGTTATGATGTAGTCTATGTCATCATGAATATTATTATTAATATTCACTTTCTCATTATTCTCCCCATTCCCAACCCCTCATACGATTTTCAAAGATCTAGAAGAGTCATCAGTTGCAGTAGGCTTACGACAGCATCTCTAGCATCGTACCTGAGAAACCAAGGGATTGCTAGAGTGAACACTGTACCCCAATGGCAGTGTACATCAGGTTCTTCTTTTTCATGGTGCTGTTAACAGTGTTTTATAAATAACTATCATGCTGTTTTCCTGCAGATAGGAAAAATATATGTGGAAATAGTGTATTTTGATTTGCTTAGTTTTGGGTGAAATCTTGTTTAAACTCTCTGAACTTTGGTATTGTCCATGTGGGAAAATATGACTTCAAAAGCGTATGAAGCTCTGTAGCCCTCAGTTCCTGAAAAGATTAGGCTGATATGAGTGGTGTGCATGTGTGATGTTCTGTAATAGTGGGTGTGTTAGAACACTTTTCATGCATTTGCTTAATATGCCCATGGTATTACAATTCTGTAAGAATCATAATCACACCCTCAGTCTGTTTCTATTCTCCTTCTATGTCTAAAAGGGAACAAATTCCACTTTAAATTAGTCTTTTGTTACTTTAAAACTAAAACAAAACATTCTTGGATCCACCTTCGGAAGTTAGATTTAGAGAAGATTTAGGCTCTGAGGAGAGCAGCAGAGGTTTACTCTTTCCAAATCTTCTCTCCTAGCTTGTGTGTGATTCTCTTAAAGATCTAGTCGCTGCTTTTCCTAAGTGACGTATGAAGGCTCCTGAACAGATGAGCAGAGCTAAGCTGGCCTAGACTCTTATCTGACCTTGTTAGGTAGGGACGGGGTTGTTCACTGCTGGCCCTGTCTAGTCCCCACTCCTCCCCTACCCACGCCTGGAAAACTTACATGGAGGCATGAGGTAAACAGCTGCTTTCTAAAGATGAGAATGCTCACAGCTACCTTCTGTTTGTTTTGCTCTCTTCCCATTTAATTATGTGCTATTCTACATTATCTTTTAAAGATATCCTTTTTGATCATTCAAGTAACACGTTTACTGTAGAAAAATTTTAAAATACAAGAAAGATTAAAAAGAAAATTAAAAATCATCCTTAATCCCACGACTCAGATTTATAATCAGTATAAGCATTCTGGTAAATTTCTCTCCTGTTGCATGTTTTCTGTTTTGGTTCTTAATGGAGACAATGAATTCATTAGAGTAAAGGTTCCCATTGGTTCTAAAATTGTTAAAATCTTCGTGAATCTCTAATAATCTTGATTAAATTGAAAAAAGCCATTAATTGATATAAATGAAGAGCAGTTATTATAAATTATTAGATTTTCAGAAAAGTCAAGCAATTGGTACAACTGAATAATAGCTCTATATTTATTTATTTAGATTTTTTCAGCCTCTGTAGAAAAAACTGTTATTACACTAGTAAAATGGAAAACAACAGAAATCAAAACTTTAACCCTTTGTTGTAAGTTTTATGATTTTATTTTTGATGTTCTGGTTAAAAGAAGATAATGAGAGAGACTATGTACTTTACTCCTTTTTTTATCCAGATAGCAAATTTTTATTGACTATCTGCTATTTAAAAGAGAGCACATCCTCAGCACATAGTAGGCACTCCATCAATATCTCATCCCTTCCCTTTGGGAGTGTGTAAAGGAAATGGAATGCCGAGTGTTAGTGCTGATTTCAGTTCATCAGTAGCCATTTGTCGTATTGCCTTGCTGAAGAGTCACAGGTAATGAACTCAAGATGGTAAAACAATCAGTACTTTCTTGACTGTAGGTTCAGCAGCTGTGTGAGGTGCCAGGGTTTCTCTCTAACTGCATGCTCCACGTTCTTTCCCAGGGTGGAATTCGTTTGGTTGGCACCTACCTTACTGAGCACAGTGTTTGGGCCCTCCCCAAATACTTGCCATATATATTGTGCAACACGCACAATGATCTGGCCCATCATATCCATAGATGAAGGTTTTCTGTATAGATATAGTGAGAGGGTAGGAAAAATACCTCGTTTTATTTCATTTCAATGTACTTCTTTGTTATGGAAAAAAAAATTCAAGAAGCTAAATGAAAATATTGCCTTTTTTATCATGAACATTGGCATAAAAGATAAATTGTACCCACCTGCAGCCTCTTGGATCAAGACCAAATTAGTAAAAAGAAAGGTGATTTCTGTGACTGTTTCCATCGATTTGAGGATGTCAGAAATGAACCAATATGTTTTGAGTATTTTTTTTTATTTCAAGTATTAAGTTCCTGGAAGAATAAAAAACCTCTCCATCTCTCCAGTAGGGACTAAAAACACTCATGAAAGTATTGCCGTTGAAGTCACTCTGCACTGACTAAGGTTGTCCCCTGTTGACTCACTATTTAAAGCTAGATTATTTGCTCCAACCTCTCAAATCAAAATTATTAAAAGAGAAGAACTAGGATCTCAAAGCAAAAACCATATGAGTGAGGATTTTTTTAAAAAGATTTTCTATGATGTATTACTTCATTTTTTCTACATTGCCACTTATTTCACATATGAAGACTCTTCTGGTTCTCTTCTCTCAACTTGTTTCCTCTGAACTCACTGGAAGAAATTATTTTGGTTTGTTCTACAAGGGGAGAATATGTTTGAACTCTGTTTAAAAGACCTAGAATTCCCACCTGCTGTAGGGAGAGCCAGGTCAAGTGCCTGGAATGTTTGTTGATTTGTAGACATCTTTGCCTGGTGCTTGTTGTGGAATACAGTGGAACTTTTCTCATTGGATGGTTTGCATCACCATTTTAGGAGGAAAAAGAAGAAATGGGAACCTATCAAATGTTTTCATTGATATGGAAGATCAGAAACTGTTCCTAGGAAGCTGTGGTCAGACCCTTATGACCATAGTCATCAAATGAGAGATAGAAGGGCCTTAGTGGCAGTTCAGTCCAGACCCGCTGTTGTACAAATGAGAAAACTAACTTAATTATCAGGGTTAACAGCTAGTTAGGGGCAGAGCCAAGAATAAAACGTAGATCACTTGGTCTTGAGCCTAAAGCTTTCCCTGGTATTGCGCATTGCCTCATTTGAGGCTGAGTATTCAGTTATTCTGCTGGTTCTTCTAGCACAATAATAAGCAGAAAGGGTGAAATAATAACCAAGTAATGATGAAGCTTATTAGCTGACCCGTTACTTCTCAAAGGAAGTGTTATATTATTCACATTTAGTATTTTGAGAACCATAATTTCTAAGTCTTAATACCTTGAGGAGTATTAGTTTACCTTTGCGTATATCTTTTTGATGACTTCCTTTGTGAGTGCACAATTCTGTGATTTTGTAGTTAGGATGATTAAATATGAGATGTTATGACTATCATATATGATTATGCTTGTGTATAATTATGTATCACCAAGGTATTTTTCTCACTAACAATGGCCTCATCAATAACTTAAGAATTTACCAAGTTTAAAACATTTTTCACGCACTGTGAGTTTATTTTGTTTGAGTTCAGAAAACTTCCATTGACAGTGTAAACTGACTGAAATAATATTTCTATATGAAATAATTTATTTTTCATCCTTTTAGACATTTGTCCCAATGTGTCCAAAAATGAACTTAAAATGTTGGGTTTTTTTCATGGAAAAGAGTAAGGAGATATGATTGTATGTCTAACATATTGAAATATGAAGCTAGATAAAATATCTGTTTGTAATGCCAATATTATACTCTAAAGTATAAAGAGTATATTTAGTATTTATTTCTCATCTTAAATTTTAGCAAAATGATAAACCCCGACTGCAAGAACTTTGGTCCGTAGAGCACAAATGATGCTTTTGAAGAATGAAGTGATGCAGGCTTGTAGCTCCTTCTAGCTCCTTGGAATCCCATGGACGAAATAAGGCGCCTTTCTGTTTTAGAAACTCTAAAAGTAAGAAAAGAAAAGGAAAAAAACACCACTAATATTCAAAAACACAGTTTCAGAATGTCTGAAAGCATGACTTGTTTGTGGAAGAATTCTACATATAAAATAGAAATTCTTAAGAAAAGGAGAAGATTCACAGTTTGCATCTTAATATTCTATACTTCTCAAAAATTCTACTTTTAGCACAGAAATGACCCTAGATAGCAGAGACCAAGACTAAAAATAATAATGATAAACCAACGAACAACAGAAATAAAGAGGAAAACATACTGTCAGGTAATAACCAGTTTCCACAATCAAGTATTAATGGAAAGTAAGTGTGTCAAAGAGTTAGGGAGCAAAGTTAAGTTTCTCATATGAGGATTGTATTATTTGCTAGAATCTTGAAGAGTTCTATCATCAGGTT